TAGAAGAATTATTAAGAATTAGGCCTTATAACTACGTAGAAAATAATTAAAAGTATACAAATAAGTAATAGAACCTGTAACTACATTAGAAGAATTATTAGTTATAATTACATGAATTATTAACAAATAAGGCCCTAAGATAGGCCCTAAAACTTATAAATGTTTGACCAAATTATAAGAAGCCATTTTTTAATGTAGAATAATTATAACTCTCGAAAAAAATCCCTTTAGTTATTTAAAGAATGTCCTATTTTTTCCTTATCTTATATAATTAACACTGTAATTTATTCGATTCCAAGTTAATTTTTTGCCTTATTATACTTAATTAGAATCAATTTTTTTTAATAAATTCTAATTAATTTTTTTAAAGTCAAACTAAGAAATGGGTTATAACATATTTATTAAAATTGCATCCTCATTACATTAATTCATTCATTCTTCTTACCTCTTTATTCAAATTAATCTGAACTCGATTATAAAATTTTAATTACAATTAATTTGATTATTTAACTGGCATCTTAATTATATTTAAAAGTTGTAAGGTTAATAATCTATTAAAAGAAAACAAAAGAGGGGGTCTTATAACGACCATAATAACGTGAATTTTAATTAGAATAATTTATAGGGGTGGTCCAAAAGTCAGTTAACCGTCGTAAATACTAAATTACCGTTTGATTTGTACCGAAATCGGTACAATTCTGTATCGGTTTTGTAACAAAAGCTCACGTTCTAAGCTCGTGTAGCTCTGTAGTGTGGATAGAACACAACGAATGCGGTTAACTGACTTTTGGGCCACCCTGTATGTTATGTACTGTACGGAATGTTTTGTAATTATAAAAGGTATACAATAGTAATAATTTATATTTAAAATGTCTAAGAATAGCAAATAAAAAAAGATAAAGGGGGTTCAAAAGAGCAATTTGAACCTGATCTAGAGCATAGGGAGGCCTCAAATTTAATCTTTTATATATAAAAATAATAATAATAAAAAAAACACAGAATTAAAGTGATATTTCTTTCGATAAGGGGTGAAGAAATCTATTTTTCTTGTATATTTTATTGATTTTTTAATGCCGTTAAGGCGGTTGAGCTTTACGTTTGTGTATGATCTACGCTCCTTAAGCTCTCATACTCATGTAAATTTAGGGCCTTCCTGTGTTTGGGCCCAAACACAGGAAGGCCCTATGTTACCTCTACACGGGTCTGCTGATATTAACACGAAAATTTATAATATAATTTTAAAAAATAAGCATGAAATTACGACACAGCAATTGAAAGGTAGCTGTAGTAAAAGAATAATACACAGGGGAATATTGTATACTGTATATATATATATATTCGGTAACTGTGTGAAATATAAGGGAAAGTTGAAAATGCAATGGAGCGAACTACTGTGTCAAGGGTATTGAGTTCGTTTTCTATTGATAACCAACAAAACGTAAAATAACACAACTGAGAAATTAGCTGATACAAAGCACTAGACTAAAGAGGATTAAAGATACTCCTGACCAAACGTTAAACCAACGAGTTTTCTGACTCTCAGGTGGTCTGTTTTCTATTGTTCGAATTTTAAACCTAACAATAAGCTTCTAGTGTTTGTTAAAACGGTTGTGGCAGCATTGAAATAACATGGAAGGGGAGAATTTCCGTTTCTTTCCTTCCATATTGTTGAAATTTCTTTATATACTGTATATATATTATTCTTTACTGTCGAACCTCTCGACGACGGCCACCTCCCAATAACGGCCATTTGGACAAAAATGCATATAAAACAACCTCTTAACAATTGTTGTTCGGAGGTTTGACTGTATTTATAATATATATTAAAATGTTTATGTTTATTTTAAAATCTATTATTAATGAAATACACATTTACGAATTATTTAATAGTTTTTTAATTGAAGAATTAGTGCATGAAACTAACTTTTTTAAATGAATTTTTGACTGTAGAAAAGTCTTATATGTGAGAATTTCATTGTTCGTAAACTTTTTAAATTTATTTATGAAATTCTGATTGAAGAATGAATCAGATACAGAAATTTCACGTATTTTTCTTGAAGTTTTCAATATACTTTACATTCTTCATGAAATTCTGATTGAAGAAAACGAGTATGATTCCAAGAATTTCACAACTCTGTGACTCATCCTTCGTGAAATTTTCAGTCTCCTTTATGATAGTCATTCGTTCATTATGAAATTCTGATCGATTTCATGATTTTTGAATCGTTTCTTATGAATTTTTTTTAATTTGATACATCAGCAAGACACTCACTCCTCATGAAACTATGGCTGAAGAATAGATCCAAGATGAAAGATTTGACAAATACGAGACTTATTTTTCGTGAAATTTTGCAATTTATATAAAGAATTTCATAAATTTCATCATTTGGAAACTTGATAAAGATGGAATGATCTTGCAAGGATATTAAAATAACTTGGAGAGAAACAAATGGTTCAGCCAACGTTGTAAAGTTCAAGGGTAAGAGTTTTTATTTCTGAACTTGTTAAATGTATTGCTTCAGTGCTGCCATCATGTGGCGTTTAGTGTCATTACGTTCCCCCAAAAGAGGGACCAGACCTGTTCCTGGGTGACATTCCTTCCTGAGTATGTAGAGAATTTACTCCCGTGGGGGAAGAAGCTGAGTCGTGGGAAACAACTATGTTGTGTGCAATCTCCTGCATACTTGAACACCAACGATTGGCACATCGGGATCCTTTGACCTATTTTCCTTAAATGATAAGAAATTCGTAGGATGCAGTTAAAGGATTATTGGAATATTCATTATAAAATACAGTCACTTAACCCAATCTCGAAGCTTCGAGTGAACAGGAAGAATATGGGATCACGTATAACAATTACCTCATTACCCACAATGATTTGTGGTGATTTTATGCATATTTACGCGCCTATAGGCTTAAATATAAGCGTAATATCTATAAAAAGGCTTCATTATGGCTTGACAATAGATGCTTCTACACTTCAAGAGACTACTTAAATTAGTTTTTTTGATGCAAATTTAATGAATTTAGAGTGTTTAACGTGATTAAAAACCTCGTTAAACATCCAAAATTTATCCAAAATTCTGAAATTTAGCAGTAAAAATGGTCGTAATAACATTATATCTATGAGAGTATAGGCTCGTTAGAAAGGCTTCTGAGCTTTAATAGGCTTCTTTATGGGAATTTAAGGAATGTAAAACGTTTTATACCATTAAAATTTGTTTAAAATTTCTAAATTTATTAGTCAGAAAGGCCTTTAAATTAGCTTCAAGTTAATTAATTAACACTGCATATATACGAGCTTACGAGTTTATAAGAGGCTTAATCTAACGAATCTAGAGTTCTTTTTTATATCATTAAAATCTATTAAAAATCTCCAAATTTATCAGCCAAAAGAAAAAAGGGTCGTCAAATTGGTTTCAGGTTAATTGATATCTGCATTTTAACATCACAGATATCATCTATTAGTTTCCTTCATGAAAAATGTGTTTAAAAGGTAATTACATTTTTGACAAGCTCGGGTCCTAAAAAATAAATGTCTAAAGTCAAAACGTTGCGGCTGATAAATACTGTTTTATTTCTGTGGGCGGAATATATTTTGTTAAAGCTTTCTACTGACATTTAAAAGATATACCTCTAGTTCAAGTCGTGCCAAACACTCTTCAGATATATCTAAGCGTAATCTGGGGAAGCCTTTTTTTTGTAATTCACGTGATTAATTTCCCACTGTTTAATGAGATTATTTTTCACCTATTGTTTCGTAAAAGAAACTAAGATCAATGTACAAAAAGGAGATCCACGTGTTAAGGATCTTAATGGTTGCCTATGGTGTAAAACTTGTAAGAATCTGTCCACAGATTCTTACGAGTTCCCATGGTAATCTTGGTGTTGACATCATCTTCGAAGATCACCTCATCTTATTTAAGCCACTGATAATAATTATTACATTTTTATGGGATTTTAAATGATAATTTTTTATTAAAAGGGATAAATAGGGGTCGGGGTTATATTCATAAGCTTAGTTTATTCTTTCTGTATCTAAAATATAGTATATCTTTTGTTCTGATCGTTAGTTTCAGATTCCATCTCAGTCTCAAGTTACATTCTTCTTTATCGCCTTAGTCTCACTTTAATTCCTCCATATTTATCTTAGGCTCACTTTAGTATTATGTTAAATCTTCTTAATCATCTTCTTCTCATATTAATCCTATGCTAGATTCTTCCTAATTATCTTAGTCTCATCTTAATCCCACATTTTAGATTCTTTTTTACCTCTTTAGTTTTTCTTTAGTTTCGTAGTAAATTCTAAGTAAGTAAATTATATTTTAAAACTTATTGCAAGATAATAATTTGAATGGTTTTACCCTTGAAAAGAAAGAAGATATCAGTAATTATATCTCTACAGAATTACAGGTTCAAGCTATTGTAGAAAAGTGATTCTCAAGTTACTTTTATTCGTGAAATTTTCTCGTATTTGATATATTACATGATATGAAATTTTAGAATAATTTACGCATTATTTGATGCGAAATTTCAGAGCACTTTGCATACTGCAAGAAGCGGAATTTCAGAGCTCCTTGCATACTACAAGAAGCGAAATTTCAGAGCACTTTGCATACTGCAAGAAGCGAAATTTCAGAGCTCCTTGCATACTATAAGAAGCGGAATTTCAGAACACTTTGCATACTGCAAGAAGCGGAATTTCAGAGCACTTTGCATACTGTTGAAGCGGAATTTCAGAGCACTTTGCATACTATTGAAGCGAAATTTTAGAGCATTTTAAGCATAATTTATAGTGATATTTTGCAGTATGTTGCATTGTATTTGAAGCGAAATTATAAAAAAAATTATTGCTCAAAATATTAGTCTTCAATATTCACCATTAGATATGAATTAAGATTAATAAATTTACGAAATTTTATAAGAGTTTTTCAATATTATCAATTAAGAATTATTATTTTAAATAATTAAGATTGTATATATGTATATTAAAATTACAGAGATGCCGGGAAAAATTGAACACGTTGGCCATATCTGTGATGAATCAATGGCCCGGGGTTCGACTTCGCGTAACAGAAGGATGGGACGAAGATGGACCTCATGCTATCAATTCTTTACATTATGAAGGAAGAGCTGTTGATATAACAACTAGTGATAGAGACAGATCCAAATATGGAATGTTGGCTCGTCTGGCTGTGGATGCTGGATTCGATTGGGTATATTATGAATCCAGGGCACACATACACTGTTCTGTAAAATCAGGTCAGTAGTTTTTTTATAATAATTTAAAGTTAAATGTGAAATAATTCGAATTAAAATCGTAATAAATCCTTTGCAAGAAGATTCCTCTGCAAGAAGAACCATTACATCTTCTTGACCATAGAATTTGGATTTCAAAACGCTCATTTGTTATAGCATGTAAATGACGTTTCAACGTGAGAAATATGTTCTAAATAATTAAAATAAATTAAATTATTAATTATTATTGTCATTATAATGCTATTTGCATTTTCATTTTGAGCAATTAATTCTATAATTGGCATCAATTATATTTGTATACAAATGACCATGAATTTTGTAAAATTCACCATAAAATTTCAAAAATTTTAATGTAAAATTGTTGGATTTCATATATAGTCTCATATTTTGATAGGAGACTATAAAAATCGGTCAGATAAATGGACTATAAACATTGGTATCGAGGTCATCTTCCCCTTATCATACCTCTACCTTCAAAATTCGGTGGAAATTAATGCCTTAAAACTGAAGGGGAAGATAAAATATAATGATGTAAGGTCTGTTGTACTTAGGGAGGGTTAAAAATAGCATTTTGCTCAAGATTTTCCGTTAAAGCGTGAAGTTATTTCAAACAGGCGAAACACCTTATTATAAAATTTTAAAAATTCAGAATTCCATAAATAAAATATTTTGCTCTTTTTAAAAAAAAAAAAAACATTTATTTATTTAATTACATTTAATCCTGCCCTAAAATTAGTGCCCATCACGGTGCTTCAAATTACAAAAATGATAAATAAAGAATACAGCTTTATCATTGGTTAATTTCTTAATTTGAATGAATTTATAACCAATCACAGCACATCGTTTTCTTAAATGTAAGATGGCGACAACAAGCGGTATGTGGGCATGTTTTACCTCATTGTAAATCAATTACAGTATGAAACTAATTCCGTTTTCATGTGCCGAGTCGAGGCGTGACTATTCAGTTAATTATCTCATGCACCTAAATATCCAACTAGAGGGCAAGGTCAAAGGTGAAAAGACCAGAACCTCTATTTCCTGCATTTAAGAGGAAAGCAGTCCATCTATTCGCTATCACCTGTGACCTCACAGACACTTTATTATGATCATAATGATGCTTATTCTTGTTCTTGTCCAAATGAATGACGGGAATATACTGAAATTGTTTCTATTCTAAATAAATTATTGTAGTTTAGGAACCGTAATGTTGAGCTACCGGCTTAAGATTCTTCGTCTTACTTAAAAATAAAAAAACGAAGAGAAAAAATAAAATAAAATAAAATAAAATAGGAATTTATTTCCATTATCCACCCAAATAAATTCTCACCAGGAAGTAATGTTATTTGTTATTTATTTCTTCAATTGTCCTCGTTAATGTCATAAACACAACTGTCGTTTATGTCCTAAGCTGTGACCAAGTTTGGAAAGATCTTTTATAGTGGGGTGTGAGTTATATCCAACCTTCTTTAATTCATAGAGGAGTTTATGTAAATAATTCTCGGAATTTTATATTTATTATAGCCAAATTAAGTCGCGTGTTTGTAAATGGGTGTAAAATTATACCTTCTACATTACTTAACTCTTAAAACTCGTACAGGGTGGCCCAAAAATTTGTTTACTGGGTACTGAGCTAATTGCAATCAGTTCTTCAAGTATAAAACTGGACAGCAATACACTTTGCCTTTGCAAAAAAATTAATTTTAGTATCATGTTTATAAACAATAGCGGTCTTTAAGCATTGTTTTATCAAGCCCAGATAGAGATAAAATATTAAATGCTAGGGCCCAAATCAAAGGTCAGTAGGCCTTTGATTTGGGCCCTAGCATTTAATATTTTATCTAAAAATACGTACCATTTATTTCACCCCACTTATTAAATTATATTATGCACATACTTCGTGGCATACGTGGTATCATGATCGTTTGTGATAGTGTTGTATATATAGTAAAACCTGTTCAAAACAGACTTTAATAAAACGGAAACCTGCCAAACAGGAAAAATATTCAGTGCCATGCTAGTCCGGTTTACACAGGTTTTACTATATTTATTTCTTCGCAGGATGAAAAAAAAAATAAAATAAAATTTTATTCGTAGAGTTTTTTTCCATTAAGTGAAGAAAATGATGTTCCTTCTGAGGAAAACAATTTAAAAAACAAACCTCTGAACAACGACCACATAAAATGTAGCCATTGTTAGGGGGTTATTTTCATGCATTTTTGTTTAAAAATGTTCCTGAAAAATTGGTTGTTGTTTAGATGTGGCCGTTGTTGGCAGGTGGACGTTATTTGAGGTTCGATTGTGTATATGTAATATCATAAAATCTTCTATACATTCACATACACAGGTTAACACAGGTTAAACTTCTAATTAATCTGATTTAATTTATTTTATTACTGAATTAAGAATTAATTCTTTTCTTAATTAAAATATTGCGGACATTCAAATATTAAATTAGAGTATGTGAAAGGAAAAATAAAAGAAAATCTTACGATTGCATACGTGAGGAAGAGGAGGATGGAATCAATGGTAACGTCAATGCTTACGTAAGTATTGATCCTCTCCTCTCTTCTCTCAACCTTATTTTTGAGGATTTTTGAAAACGAAATCCTTAAAAATAAGGATGCCAGAGGAGAGCAGAGGATCAATACTGCTTGCTCTTGTGATAACATTGACAAAATCATGGGCAGGAAGAGTACAATGCAATATTCATAATTGCTTATAAGAAGAAAGCAAGAGGTCAAAAGTAATAAAAACCAAGCTTACATAATATTTGAATGTCTCATTTTATTATTTTAATTAAATATTTAATAATATTTTAATTAATTAATTTGTAATCTTTCTCAGAATCGGCCGATGCTGCAAAATCGGGAGGTTGCTTCCACGGTGATAGTGAAGTATATACAAGCGAAGGAATACGAAAAATGTCTGAATTAAAGATCGGTAATAAAGTTCTAGCCGTTACACGAGATGGAAAATTAATATTCAGTGAGGTCATCTTATTTCTAGATTGGGATCCGAATAAGAAAAGACAGTTTTATGTATTGAAGACAGAAAGGGGACGTGAAATAACGTTAACACCGAGTCATCTGATATTTTCGAGTCCTAAAAATGGAACCTATGTAAATGCAATGTTCACCAGAGACATTCGGCTTGGTGATTATATTTACACGAGGGACGAACATGCAAATATATTGCCCGATCGTGTAATAAGTATAGTAACTATAACAGACACGGGAGTTTACGCTCCATTGACTCTTCAAGGAAACATAGTCGTAGATGGTGTAGTTGCTTCTTGTTACGCGGTTATAAATGATCAAAATATTGCACATTGGGCATTTTTTCCAGTTCGCGTTTACGATAACTTAAAAAATCTTTATAAGAAAATTTACAATTTCTTCCAGTTAAAAGAAAGGACTACAATAATTATCAACAGAAATCCAATTACCGGTATACATTGGTATGCCAAATCACTTTATTTCATAGCCCGCTACGTGCTACCGCATGATTATCTGTACCATTGACTTTATCTTACTTTTTATCACTTAAGTTATTAGTTTTTCAGTAAAGGTGTACAGATAGAAATAAGATTAAAGAAAAAGAAAGAAAAATTCAGAAGTATTTTCAAGATTTCAGCAATTATTATGTAATGAATTGTATATATTGTTTGATTCCATGAAAATATTGGTTTGGATTTTTTTTTAAAAATATTGTGCACTATAAAGACTGCCCTACAATCAAATTACATTCCAACTGATGCATGGTTCAGTGCGAAAGGGAGAGAGAGAATGAGATTTGAGAGCGATTGAATAGCTTAATATGACTAATTGTAATAGTTTAATAAGTAACATGTTGATTAATGTAAATTTATGAATTCGTGAACTATAATTTATGCCAAAATAAATCGAGTAGTTATGAAATTAAACTTTTGTATTTTTTTTATTATTTTATATATTATTTTCATTAATAATATGCAATAACTTTTTAAATTAAACTCGTTTAAATTTTTCTATCTGTTAATATAGTTCAATTATAACCACCAGAGGGATAATTACAGAAACTTGCACTCTAGCGGCTAAAAACTTTTAATTATTTTATATGTGTTAATTTTCTAAATTAATAGATAGTGAAATCTCAATTAACTATTTGTTATTTTATTTTGTTATAAAATTGAAGATAATTATTTTTAATGGCAAAGTTTTATTATTTTTTTTTTACGTTTTTCTTTTCTTTCAAATAAAATTTAAGAACTGATTTAATCATTTAAATTATTACCACTAGAGGGCAGAAACGAAATTTCTTTTATTGTTAGCCCTCTAGTGGCAAGGTCAAAGTTATGCTTTGATGAGTTGCAACTTGTAATTCATTAATTTATAATATAAAACTTACCAATATTAAAATAATAATAATAATAATAAATTCTTTAATATATATTGATATATAATATTTTAGGAAAGTTATAAGAAAACAAAGACACTAAGTTTCAACTTTCAATATGTTTACACGTATTTTATAAACAAAAATACTAATTTTTATACAGATTTTAATTTTAAATAACAGTATTAACAATTGCTTATAATAAAATCACTCTTTATTTAAGAAAATCAACAAACATAAATTAATCTTTTATTTACAATTTTAATTATCAATAGATGGCGACACATTTTCACAATTTTTTTTAAATAATTACTAGAAATAAAATACTAATTATGTGTAATTTCAATAAAAAATAAAAAAAATCACGTAAATGGAAAACGATTTAATTTAAATAAAATAATTTAAAATTTCACTAAAATATATTTAACACTAGATGGCAGCAGTAATAAACACTAAGCGAAATTATGAGTGCGTGGAGACCGCAGATTCAAAGTAAACGAACCAATGATTTAGTCCGTTTTACAAGAAATGGATCACGTGATTGCTTGCAGATTAGACGTATCGTATATTCGATTGTTTTCAACATTTAACGGCAAACACGTAGAGCTTAAAACCGAAAATAAACTTTAACCTAATCTTGCTTTAAAGAATGGATTTGATTCGAAATGTATTGGCTTTGTGTATACAGTATTGATCAAACCGATACAGCTTTTTGCATCTGTGAAATAATAGCAAGCTTTCCTGGGTGCCATTCTGTGACGTCGTTGAAGTTGGCAACATAATCCCTTGTCCATGTCACATTCTGAACTTGTCACGCACTGTTCATCTGAAAATAGTACTCCATCTTAATTAAAGCTGAAACAATTCCTATTATTATTAATGATTTGAGAAGATATTGCCAGATGCCACAGATGCCAATGCCCGTCCCGATTCTCAAAATTTATCATGATTAGTAAAAACCAAAAATCACGGTGATTGACGGGCTATTATGGATCAGATTGTCAATCTCCATCCTTCTTTCGGATCAGTCATTGCAGATAGAACATTGGATGAAAGAAGTGGTAAAAATGCCACTTTGTTGAGATACATTTAAGGTACCAGTTAGTACAGTAGGTGGTTTAACCCAAATATGTCAGACTCAGTCCTTTCCTAACAATACGAATGACTCCACTATGGAACTCTGGGGAACCCGGAATCGAATCCCAGAAAATTTTCGGGGTAATCCGAAATATCCCTAGATTTGATCTCATGCTTGCCAAAAAAAAAATTCCTGGAATTCGATCTCTGGGATATGTCGGGCTCCATCCCTCATCAGCCAGCAGTCATCTAGCCAAACCCATAATAGGCTTATTAAAAAAGGCTTTCAGTGCCCGCGGGTGTAGAGAGTTAAAAAAATATCTGGTGATCAAACGAACAGGAAATTAAGTTAGATGATTGCATGATAAGACATGATCTTCCATTACAATGATTTGAGTAGGATTCGGACTATCATAATTTGTCACAAAAATTTGAGTTAGAAACTTTCAATGATAGAAAAAAGAAAACATAAATAAGTACATTTTTACCATTACCATTAAAACCATTATATAAATAAGGGATAATCAATAAAAATAATATAGTGAGTTGTATGATATACTTACTATAACGCCTTTTTCTGACATTCTTAATTTCTGTATGGCACACTTTGGATGGTTTGATCTTCAAACATTTTAGAAATTCGATGCAATCTACATCACTTGGGCAAGGATGATCTAAGATTCTTGGATAAATCGGAAGGCATGTTCCTACTAAAACACAAATATAAGAAAATATTTTACAAGATCGATTTTTTAAAACTAATATTTTTAGTATTTAACCCTCGATATAACGAACCAACAGATGGAAGCGTTGAGATGATAATTTCAATTGTTCGTTGTATCCGAAGATGCCATAGTAAAATCTTTATATGCCATATAATGAGAGACACAAGCAGGTTGTATTGTGTTAAATACAACAATAACAAACACTGTATTTGCAAACAGGAGCTTAAATTCTGAGCACAGTCGTAATCCTATATTTTCAAATATTGGCTGGATACGAGGGCATATACAAAGAGGTGTTTATGGTACTGTAGCATCCTCTCGATACCAAAAAAGTAAGTTTTCATACTTGCATATAGTTTTACATACAGGGGGCTTGCACCTTTGTGCCTCGATGCAGCGTCATTTTCAAAATCCTGGATACACCACTGGTTGGGTAAGCAAGCCAATAACATCCCGTTTCATTTGAAACAGGCTATATCATTGGCTTATTTATTCATCTGTATTAAAACCACTTTGCTCACTGTATTTTCATTTTGTCAGGTGTTTGAAACAAGCGAATTTAGTGCATTGTTTTCGAACTGCGTTATATTGTTTATTTATAATTGTAACTTTTAGTTTAATAATAAATTATTGTTTAATTATATTTAATTTTATTTAAAATAATAATAATAATAATTAAAATTAAAATTTACCGTTTAAATTTTCATTTAGAATTACGCAAACGTATCCTTTGCAACACTGATAATTTCCATGGCATTTTCTTACAGAACATTCTTCAGAATAAATAAGAGCATCTATAATATCTTCTGTATCTTTTTTAAGAAGCTGTAACACATAAAAGTTAAGAACTGCGTGAAAATTTTGAATAAATGATATATACAGATTATATTTTAAAAGTGTATTTAGATTTTATAACGTTTCAAGTGCTTGAGACGAAATGAAATCAGGATCAGTTTTCTTTTTTATATAAAAGACTTAATTTTGAACCCCTTCTGCGTCTAGGGAAGGTTTTAAATGATCCTCGAGATTTCTCTGTGTCTGGGCATAAAGTTAAATAATCCCCGAAGCTCTTCTGCCCCAAGAATTAAAAGGTCCTTTGGATTTTTTTGTGCTTAGAAACTGGGTTAAATAATTTCCGAGGCTCTTCTATACTTTCCCTTTTTATCAGAATCTATTGTCTTTCATTCATAGGAAATTTATTTTTGGTAGAAAAATTAAAATTTATAACGAAATAAATCATAAAATTCGATTCTGGGTAATTTTATATTGAACTCAATTAACACATGATCCGAGTGGTTTCATTTGTTTTCACTTAGAAAATCCATTAAAGGTAATTGTTTTACTTCTGTAAATTTGTATTCCGAATAAGAATAATGAAGAGAACAAATAATGTTATGTATTAATAATAAGGAAATTAATGTGTTCGAGTTTTCTAAAACATTTCATTTAATTACGTGACCATTTTCTTTTTTTTTTTTTTTTTTTTTTTTTGAAGTTACTATGCCTTGACTCTGGTCTGGCATAGTACACAGCCATCGGTGTCCACCTAGTGTAACTCNTTTTTTTTTTTTTTTTTTTCTATTTTAACTTCCTGATAATTCTTTTCAAATTTTGACGGATTAATTTTAATATTAAATTGCTATAGAGTGGACCAAAAATCGGTTTAACCGTAGTTAACTAACTTTTGGGCAATGCTAAGAATTCAAATTACTCTTACGTCTATATAATTAATCAAAAGGACGGACATCTGTCTGTCCTTCCTTAATCTTGAGAACGGAGTTAGATAAATGACCCGCATGACTCCATTGTTAACATGAAAAGGACGATGTACAGGGGCCGAGACACTACTAAAATTGAGAGCATTGTGACGAAAAATTGAAATCCGGTATTGTGACGTAGTCACAATAAATAATAACAGGGGTTTTAAGAGTAGATTGGATTGATAGGAAAAGGCTCAAACATATGAGCGATTTAACAAGAAGGGGAAAATCCCTGGAAGATTTTCTATGGGTATTTGGCCCCTACTTAGATCACTTAACACTAGAAGGGTCTAGTGTTAAGTGATTTTTATCAATTCGGCCACTGGTGAGCTTTCAAATTACATCTAACATATTTTCTAATTATCTGCAAATTTTCATATAAATCACACGAGAATACACATAATTTTTATACAAATATACACAAAATATATATAAATTAACAAATTTAGCTGATTTTTTCACTCTCTAATGGATCCTTCTTGCAGTTTTAATACGAATTTACATTTTAGTTTTTTTTTACATTATTTATTTATTAGTATGTTAATTAGAATATCTCTCAGTTAACTGACTTTAGGGCCACCCTATATATTCTATCACAGAAAATATGAACAAATAAATGCCAACATCTTGATAAAATTTACAAAAAGTGATAAATGTAAAGATGAAGAAATCAGGCAAACACAACTCTAAAGACAGGGGGGAGGGGGGAAGAAAAACATCTTTCAATAACTTCCGTTTCCGGTTTTTGATCATTCAGAAAATTCAATAATACATTAATAACAGAGAAATGTATTAAAAATTCATTTTAAATTCTAAAATTCTAGCAGTAATTAACATAAAAATCATTCCTGATCTAATCTAATAATGTATTTTTAATATTTGATTTTGATGAGGGTGGACCAAAAATCAGTTAACTAAAATATATATTTTTTTTTAGAACGGTCTTAAAAAAACAATGTATCTCGGTTAACTAATTTTTAGGCCACACTGTACTTTAATTATAATGATTTTTTTTAGTATTTAATAATATAAACGAATAATAAATTATATATAATTTTTTTTTTCTAAACAGTAATTAATGTTGTAAATTAATAAGGAAAGATTTTAAATCGCCCACTCTTCACGCTTCATGGTGTGAAATTTTGATTATAAACACATGTTAAATTAGTATTTCTAAATCTAATAAACATTTATAATTATGTTACAGGGCATTCGACATTCGATAAATAATGTTTGCTGATGATTTTCCTATCTACATCCCTAATATTTTCACACTGTTTTTTATTCAGGGGTCCTTGAAATGTCGAGAAATGTAAAAGAAATTGGGGAGATTATTTTCTGTAGTGTTTGGGGGCACGTATTTGTTCACCCACTTTTAAAGCTTAATAACTCCTGTGCCTTTTGTCGAAAATTTTTGAAATTTTGCAGGGAGGTTTGGGTATTAGGATCATTGATTCTGTGTAATTTTGATGGTTATAGGTCAAGGGGTAGTTATGAAAAGTGAGTTTATGTTTTAACTGACAGTCGAATGGATGACGTGATAAAAGCCTCAGCTTAACCTTTTGAGAGTCCCAGGTTCAAGTTAAGGTTAATTCATGGATCGAATATGTTGTGTCCCGTACATCACCATCCGTTCGCCCCCATTGTGAGCCTGGACGAACACATGAAGCCATTAATTCATAGAATCCACGGTATCCATTCATTGAAGTCCACCAGTGGCTACTCATGGGCTTCTATGAATAGATATAGTTGATTTTATAAATGGAGGAACCGTATTGGTAAACCACTGAAAGTTGGTCGCGGGTTCGCATCTCGCCAACAGGTTAACCACGTGGAGTTTCTCAGGTTTTCTTCGTGATTCACACCTAATATGGACCAATTTCCCTTATAGAATGACTCGCGGGAGGCACCGCTCCTTGGCTTACAAAAGACTGATTTACAAGTTCCTCCTTCAATTTAATTTTAAAATATTGTCGAATTAATTTATGTTAGCAGTAAATTAACTAACAGCAAGCAATTTTCATTTTGCTTCCTCTGTTTATTAAAAATTTAAATAGTTTCTTTAAGTTGATTGGCTTCACGTAAATTAATTTTAATTAATTTTAATAATTATATTTATCAATTAAATTTTAAAAATTGTTTATCCTTCCACGATCTAAATATAGTTCAGATGAATAATTATAAATTAGCGAACGGCTCTATAATTGTATTTTGTATTTTATACTTTTTATGCTAATTATTTAATTTATTTTTAAATTTATTAATTTTTAAAAATATATTTTAACGTTTATTTATTTATTTAAAAAAAATATTACGATAATATAATAAATTGTATTTTAATTGCAATAATAATCTTAAATAAGATCGTGAAGATTAGACTGTGCCATAGAGAGCCATTTGGCTCGGTCTTCAGATGGACGAGGCCCCCGAGTATTCCAGGCCTCTTTAGACAATGGCACAGAGATAAAGCTCTGAAAATTACACGTACGGAAGAACAGATTCACAAATGTTATTTCAAAATTAAATATTTAAAACACTGACCTCATTTTCTTTTTGAGGAATCCATTTTTTGTCCGACGATCCCCTTCCAGAAATGGACATCAATAGAAAATTGAAAAAGGTAACAGCATAGAGAATCTTCGTTCTGCACTTCATGGTGTTGCAAGAGCTTCTACACGCTACTGATTCGTCTGTTTAAATGTAAACACCCTGACTACTCCGTTCAGCAACGTCCATCCGTTTAGCTAATGTAAAATTTTATATTTTAACATTAGTAAAAATTAAATAAAAATGCAAATTTTGGATAGTTTTTAAATTTAAAAAAATGATTTAAATTTCAAATAAAATATCAAGTTAGTTTATTTATAGATTACTTATATAAATTTATTTATAAGTAAATTTATATTAAAAATATTTAAATAATAATAATAATAAATAAATAAATAAATAAAATTAAATATATCACACACAACAAAACAAAAACTTTAGTAAGTTTCGACTTTTTATCAAAAAAAAATCTTTACATTCTGTGGGCATTAAGAGAACCTTTTTTAGCAAGACCATTATGGGTTTGGTCCTTAATGGATGGTGGGTAGCGAGGAATAGGAACCACCGGACAAATAACCTTCAAAAATTGTGGAGTTTTTCGGATTCTATCCCGAATCCTTCAGAGGGAACCATCGGACGGAAAATCCATAAAAATTCTTGGTTTTTCAATACACTTGGATTCGACCACGGTGTCCGTCATAGCAAAAGACTGTCACCTTAGCCGCTTGGATTCGATCCCTGGTCCCTTAGTATTTGCTTTAGGACAATGATTTTTCAAATTTTTAACATCCATGAAAACTTTATTTACGCAATTACTAATGGCCGAATGAATAAAACTACCAATGCTTGTAGTTTGTCGCAGGTTCGCACTCGACCAAAGAGATGGAAGGGTTTCACCAAAGAGATGGAAGTTTTCCGGTTTTTTCACGTGTATAGTACATGAATAGGAAGTTTTCTCGGAAAGCACCCATCTTTGGCAGATCGTCTATGTATTGCGTGCCTTATTCCATCAAACCAATCCAATCTTCCCAACGGCCACATAGCCAAGCGATCAAGATGGGAGCCTACCGCTCTGAAAACCAGGAATCGAATCCGGAAGGGTCGAAAAACCCCAGAAATTTTTCAGGTGATGGTGTGTTTTATCCAGTGTCCAGCGTCGTTTTATTGTGGGCCTTGCCGAACCTATAATTGGCTTGATAAAAGAGCCCTCTTAGTACCCACAGGGCGGAATGAGTTAGAAAAAAATCTGATCTTCCTTCGTACTTCAAGTTTTGTTTTTATTTGATAACCAATAGAGATTCTTATGGTTAGATAATATTTATTTTTTACATTTTTAGTGAAAGTAACGAAATATTTTTGAGAAATTCTTGAAAATTGTTTGTGCAATTCGATGATTTCACAAATAACATTCAATTTGGAAATGACATGTCACGACATTTTTTGAAAGTATGAAAGGTTTATTTGAATACTGCAATGCGACACATGGACAATGACTGGATAGAAACTAGACCCAACTTAGAAGTTGCTAACGTGAAGAAAACCCGGAAAACTCCACTTGATCAGCCCGTTGACGAGGCGCGAACCCATGGCCAACAGCTACCAGGGTTCAGTGGTTTTATCCACTCGGCTACTAGCGGACTTGAAAATCTATATATATATATATATATAAATGGACATGTATGTCCCTATATTTCACTTTTCCGCCAAAACTACACATCGCANACTAAGCGAAATTATGAGTGCGTGGAGACCGCAGATTCAAAGTAAACGAACCAATGATTTAGTCCGTTTTACAAGAAATGGATCACGTGATTGCTTGCAGATTAGACGTATCGTATATTCGATTGTTTTCAACATTTAACGGCAAACACGTAGAGCTTAAAACCGAAAATAAACTTTAACCTAATCTTGCTTTAAAGAATGGATTTGATTCGAAATGTATTGGCTTTGTGTATACAGTATTGATCAAACCGATACAGCTTTTTGCATCTGTGAAATAATAGCAAGCTTTCCTGGGTGCCATTCTGTGACGTCGTTGAAGTTGGCAACATAATCCCTTGTCCATGTCACATTCTGAACTTGTCACGCACTGTTCATCTGAAAATAGTACTCCATCTTAATTAAAGCTGAAACAATTCCTATTATTATTAATGATTTGAGAAGATATTGCCAGATGCCACAGATGCCAATGCCCGTCCCGATTCTCAAAATTTATCATGATTAGTAAAAACCAAAAATCACGGTGATTGACGGGCTGTTATGGATCAGGTTGTCAATCTCCATCCTTCTTTCGGATCAGTCATTGCAGATAGAACATTGGATGAAAGAAGTGGTAAAAATGCCACTTTGTTGAGATACATTTAAGGTACCAGTTAGTACAGTAGGTGGTTTAACCCAAATATGTCAGACTCAGTCCTTTCCTAACAATACGAATGACTCCACTATGGAACTCTGGGGAACCCGGAATCGAATCCCAGAAAATTTTCGGGGTAATCCGAAATATCCCTAGATTTGATCTCATGCTTGCCAAAAAAAAAAAATTCCTGGAATTCGATCTCTGGGATATGTCGGGCTCCATCCCTCATCAGCCAGCAGTCATCTAGCCAAACCCATAATAGGCTTATTAAAAAAGGCTTTCAGTGCCCGCGGGTGTAGAGAGTTAAAAAAATATCTGGTGATCAAACGAACAGGAAATTAAGTTAGATGATTGCATGATAAGACATGATCTTCCATTACAATGATTTGAGTAGGATTCGGACTATCATAATTTGTCACAAAAATTTGAGTTAGAAACTTTCAATAATAGAAAAAAGAAAACATAAATAAGTACATTTTTACCATTACCATTAAAACCATTATATAAATAAGGGATAATCAATAAAAATAATATAGTGAGTTGTATGATATACTTACTATAACGCCTTTTTCTGACATTCTTAATTTCTGTATGGCACACTTTGGATGGTTTGATCTTCAAACATTTTAGAAATTCGATGCAATCTACATCACTTGGGCAAGGATGATCTAAGATTCTTGGATAAATCGGAAGGCATGTTCCTACTAAAACACAAATATAAGAAAATATTTTACAAGATCGATTTTTTAAAACTAATATTTTTAGTATTTAACCCTCGATATAACGAACCAACAGATGGAAGCGTTGAGATGATAATTTCAATTGTTCGTTGTATCCGAAGATGCCATAGTAAAATCTTTATATGCCATATAATGAGAGACACAAGCAGGTTGTATTGTGTTAAATACAACAATAACAAACACTGTATTTGCAAACAGGAGCTTAAATTCTGAGCACAGTCGTAATCCTATATTTTCAAATATTGGCTGGATACGAGGGCATATACAAAGAGGTGTTTATGGTACTGTAGCATCCTCTCGATACCAAAAAAGTAAGTTTTCATACTTGCATATAGTTTTACATACAGGGGGCTTGCACCTTTGTGCCTCGATGCAGCGTCATTTTCAAAATCCTGGATACACCACTGGTTGGGTAAGCAAGCCAATAATATCCCGTTTCATTTGAAACAGGCTATATCATTGGCTTATTTATTCATCTGTATTAAAACCACTTTGCTCACTGTATTTTCATTTTGTCAGGTGTTTGAAACAAGCGAATTTAGTGCATTGTTTTCGAACTGCGTTATATTGTTTATTTATAATTGTAACTTTTAGTTTAATAATAAATTATTGTTTAATTATATTTAATTTTATTTAAAATAATAATAATAATAATTAAAATTAAAATTTACCGTTTAAATTTTCATTTAGAATTACGCAAACGTATCCTTTGCAACACTGATAATTTCCATGGCATTTTCTTACAGAACATTCTTCAGAATAAATAAGAGCATCTATAATATCTTCTGTATCTTTTTTAAGAAGCTGTAACACATAAAAGTTAAGAACTGCGTGAAAATTTTGAATAAATGATATATACAGATTATATTTTAAAAGTGTATTTAGATTTTATAACGTTTCAAGTGCTTGAGACGAAATGAAATCAGGATCAGTTTTCTTTTTTATATAAAAGACTTAATTTTGAACCCCTTCTGCGTCTAGGGAAGGTTTTAAATGATCCTCGAGATTTCTCTGTGTCTGGGCATAAAGTTAAATAATCCCCGAAGCTCTTCTGCCCCAAGAATTAAAAGGTCCTTTGGATTTTTTTGTGCTTAGAAACTGGGTTAAATAATTTCCGAGGCTCTTCTATACTTTCCCTTTTTATCAGAATCTATTGTCTTTCATTCATAGGAAATTTATTTTTGGTAGAAAAATTAAAATTTATAACGAAATAAATCATAAAATTCGATTCTGGGTAATTTTATATTGAACTCAATTAACACATGATCCGAGTGGTTTCATTTGTTTTCACTTAGAAAATCCATTAAAGGTAATTGTTTTACTTCTGTAAATTTGTATTCCGAATAAGAATAATGAAGAGAACAAATAATGTTATGTATTAATAATAAGGAAATTAATGTGTTCGAGTTTTCTAAAACATTTCATTTAATTACGTGACCATTTTCTTTTTTTTTTTTTTTTTCTATTTTAACTTCCTGATAATTCTTTTCAAATTTTGACGGATTAATTTTAATATTAAATTGCTATAGAGTGGACCAAAAATCGGTTTAACCGTAGTTAACTAACTTTTGGGCAATGCTAAGAATTCAAATTACTCTTACGTCTATATAATTAATCAAAAGGACGGACATCTGTCTGTCCTTCCTTAATCTTGAGAACGGAGTTAGATAAATGACCCGCATGACTCCATTGTTAACATGAAAAGGACGATGTACAGGGGCCGAGACACTACTAAAATTGAGAGCATTGTGACGAAAAATTGAAATCCGGTATTGTGACGTAGTCACAATAAATAATAACAGGGGTTTTAAGAGTAGATTGGATTGATAGGAAAAGGCTCAAACATATGAGCGATTTAACAAGAAGGGGAAAATCCCTGGAAGATTTTCTATGGGTATTTGGCCCCTACTTAGATCACTTAACACTAGAAGGGTCTAGTGTTAAGTGATTTTTATCAATTCGGCCACTGGTGAGCTTTCAAATTACATCTAACATATTTTCTAATTATCTGCAAATTTTCATATAAATCACACGAGAATACACATAATTTTTATACAAATATACACAAAATATATATAAATTAACAAATTTAGCTGATTTTTTCACTCTCTAATGGATCCTTCTTGCAGTTTTAATACGAATTTACATTTTAGTTTTTTTTTACATTATTTATTTATTAGTATGTTAATTAGAATATCTCTCAGTTAACTGACTTTAGGGCCACCCTATATATTCTATCACAGAAAATATGAACAAATAAATGCCAACATCTTGATAAAATTTACAAAAAGTGATAAATGTAAAGATGAAGAAATCAGGCAAACACAACTCTAAAGACAGGGGGGAGGGGGGAAGAAAAACATCTTTCAATAACTTCCGTTTCCGGTTTTTGATCATTCAGAAAATTCAATAATACATTAATAACAGAGAAATGTATTAAAAATTCATTTTAAATTCTAAAATTCTAGCAGTAATTAACATAAAAATCATTCCTGATCTAATCTAATAATGTATTTTTAATATTTGATTTTGATGAGGGTGGACCAAAATTCAGTTAACTAAAATATATAATTTTTTTTTTCTAAACAGTAATTAATGTTGTAAATTAATAAGGAAAGATTTTAAATCGCCCACTCTTCACGCTTCATGGTGTGAAATTTTGATTATAAACACATGTTAAATTAGTATTTCTAAATCTAATAAACATTTATAATTATGTTACAGGGCATTCGACATTCGATAAATAATGTTTGCTGATGATTTTCCTATCTACATCCCTAATATTTTCACACTGTTTTTTATTCAGGGGTCCTTGAAATGTCGAGAAATGTAAAAGAAATTGGGGAGATTATTTTCTGTAGTGTTTGGGGGCACGTATTTGTTCACCCACTTTTAAAGCTTAATAACTCCTGTGCCTTTTGTCGAAAATTTTTGAAATTTTGCAGGGAGGTTTGGGTATTAGGATCATTGATTCTGTGTAATTTTGATGGTTATAGGTCAAGGGGTAGTTATGAAAAGTGAGTTTATGTTTTAACTGACAGTCGAATGGATGACGTGATAAAAGCCTCAGCTTAACCTTTTGAGAGTCCCAGGTTCAAGTTAAGGTTAATTCATGGATCGAATATGTTGTGTCCCGTACATCACCATCCGTTCGCCCCCATTGTGAGCCTGGACGAACACATGAAGCCATTAATTCATAGAATCCACGGTATCCATTCATTGAAGTCCACCAGTGGCTACTCATGGGCTTCTATGAATAGATATAGTTGATTTTATAAATGGAGGAACCGTATTGGTAAACCACTGAAAGTTGGTCGCGGGTTCGCATCTCGCCAACAGGTTAACCACGTGGAGTTTCTCAGGTTTTCTTCGTGATTCACACCTAATATGGACCAATTTCCCTTATAGAATGACTCGCGGGAGGCACCGCTCCTTGGCTTACAAAAGACTGATTTACAAGTTCCTCCTTCAATTTAATTTTAAAATATTGTCGAATTAATTTATGTTAGCAGTAAATTAACTAACAGCAAGCAATTTTCATTTTGCTTCCTCTGTTTATTAAAAATTTAAATAGTTTCTTTAAGTTGATTGGCTTCACGTAAATTAATTTTAATTAATTTTAATAATTATATTTATCAATTAAATTTTAAAAATTGTTTATCCTTCCACGATCTAAATATAGTTCAGATGAATAATTATAAATTAGCGAACGGCTCTATAATTGTATTTTGTATTTTATACTTTTTATGCTAATTATTTAATTTATTTTTAAATTTATTAATTTTTAAAAATATATTTTAACGTTTATTTATTTATTTAAAAAAAATATTACGATAATATAATAAATTGTATTTTAATTGCAATAATAATCTTAAATAAGATCGTGAAGATTAGACTGTGCCATAGAGAGCCATTTGGCTCGGTCTTCAGATGGACGAGGCCCCCGAGTATTCCAGGCCTCTTTAGACAATGGCACAGAGATAAAGCTCTGAAAATTACACGTACGGAAGAACAGATTCACAAATGTTATTTCAAAATTAAATATTTAAAACACTGACCTCATTTTCTTTTTGAGGAATCCATTTTTTGTCCGACGATCCCCTTCCAGAAATGGACATCAATAGAAAATTGAAAAAGGTAACAGCATAGAGAATCTTCGTTCTGCACTTCATGGTGTTGCAAGAGCTTCTACACGCTACTGATTCGTCTGTTTAAATGTAAACACCCTGACTACTCCGTTCAGCAACGTCCATCCGTTTAGCTAATGTAAAATTTTATATTTTAACATTAGTAAAAATTAAATAAAAATGCAAATTTTGGATAGTTTTTAAATTTAAAAAAATGATTTAAATTTCAAATAAAATATCAAGTTAGTTTATTTATAGATTACTTATATAAATTTATTTATAAGTAAATTTATATTAAAAATATTTAAATAATAATAATAATAAATAAATAAATAAATAAAATTAAATATATCACACACAACAAAACAAAAACTTTAGTAAGTTTCGACTTTTTATCAAAAAAAAATCTTTACATTCTGTGGGCATTAAGAGAACCTTTTTTAGCAAGACCATTATGGGTTTGGTCCTTAATGGATGGTGGGTAGCGAGGAATAGGAACCACCGGACAAATAACCTTCAAAAATTGAGGAGTTTTTCGGATTCTATCCCGAATCCTTCAGAGGGAACCATCGGACGGAAAATCCATAAAAATTCTTGGTTTTTCAATACACTTGGATTCGACCACGGTGTCCGTCATAGCAAAAGACTGTCACCTTAGCCGCTTGGATTCGATCCCTGGTCCCTTAGTATTTGCTTTAGGACAATGATTTTTCAAATTTTTAACATCCATGAAAACTTTATTTACGCAATTACTAATGGCCGAATGAATAAAACTACCAATGCTTGTAGTTTGTCGCAGGTTCGCACTCGACCAAAGAGATGGAAGGGTAGAGTTTTCCGGTTTTTTCACGTGTATAGTACATGAATAGGAAGTTTTCTCGGAAAGCACCCATCTTTGGCAGATCGTCTATGTATTGCGTGCCTTATTCCATCAAACCAATCCAATCTTCCCAACGGCCACATAGCCAAGCGATCAAGATGGGAGCCTACCGCTCTGAAAACCAGGAATCGAATCCGGAAGGGTCGAAAAACCCCAGAAATTTTTCAGGTGATGGTGTGTTTTATCCAGTGTCCGGCGTCGTTTTATTGTGGGCCTTGCCGAACCTATAATTGGCTTGATAAAAGAGCCCTCTTAGTACCCACAGGGCGGAATGAGTTAGAAAAAAATCTGATCTTTCTTCGTGCTTCAAGTTTTGTTTTTATTTGATAACCAATAGAGATTCTTATGGTTAGATAATATTTATTTTTTACATTTTTAGTGAAAGTAACGAAATATTTTTGAGAAATTCTTGAAAATTGTTTGTGCAATTCGATGATTTCACAAATAACATTCAATTTGGAAATGACATGTCACGACATTTTTTGAAAGTATGAAAGGTTTATTTGAATACTGCAATGCGACACATGGACAATGACTGGATAGAAACTAGACCCAACTTAGAAGTTGCTAACGTGAAGAAAACCCGGAAAACTCCACTTGATCAGCCCGTTGACGAGGCGCGAACCCATGGCCAACAGCTACCAGGGTTCAGTGGTTTTATCCACTCGGCTACTAGCGGACTTGAAAATCTATATATATATATATATATAAATGGACATGTATGTCCCTATATTTCACTTTTCCGCCAAAACTACACATCGCACGTGAATGGTGTTTGTATGTGGTGGTAGCTCCAAGTCTCCATTCGTGCATAGGGGTGGTTGCGTCTCGATAGCTATAAGAGTGCGGGAGATATGAGGCTGAAAGTGGTTGAAAGTGGCTTTCTATTTCGAATGTTTTGTTCGAATTAAATTCGAACATAAAATTCGAATATTGGTTCGATTATAGAACGATTGTAAACGTTCCAGAAACGTTGAAAATAGTTCGTTTGACTAAACGTAAAAATTCTCTAATTAGTCTGAAAACGGGGGACCTAATTCTTGCATTCTGTGAAAACGGGTAAGATTAGCTATAATGTAATTATCTTAATCTTCACTATCGTTACTTTTTGCCCAGCGAAGCGGGTCCTTGCAGCTAGATTCTAGATTACTCAGAAAAACAGTCTTTTATATATATATATATATATAAAACTATATTGCATACAAATAAAAACCCAGCGAAGCGGGTCCTTGCAGCTAGTACTATATAAAAATATGCATGGAAACTATCGATATTTGACAATATTCATAAATTATTTGAAATAATAAACAATACTTTATATCAACATCAAACAAGGAGTTGAGTCCTCGTCCCGGGAAGCGGTAACACTTATTGATACTGTATATTATCAATCAGTGACTGAAGGATACACAAATACGTTATTCACATTTATACATTGCTTTTTATCAAATAGAATATACAATTGTATGAAAGTGATTCACCAGAACACTTTCACGATGTAATTTGGTTTGATGGAATATGGCAACGCAACGTAATCTGCCAAGGAGAAATGTCTCCCAGGAGAACTTTCTGTGGAAAACTAGTCGCTATTTAGATATTAGAAACTGAAGAAAACTCGGGAAACTCCACATGGCCAATCCTTTGGGGAGGCAGGAACCCGCGACCAACTACCACTGTTTAGTAGTTTTATCCACTCGACCACTGGTTGGCTTTCAGGATGTGAGAAGAGAAAAAACGAAAAATATTTTGTTTGTTTCTATTGAAAATTCACACAATGTACCTTCAGGCTTTAGTTACAAAATGACTTCTCTATACGCAACTTATTAATCCATTAAAATCATTTTAATTAATTCATTGCAAGTTAATAAATCTTTTGATCTACAGGGTAGTGGCGATCAATGTCTTGTCCGTCTCAAGTTTTGTGTGTATATGTATAAAACCAGCAATAAAATGACTGCAAACATTATTTTTAACAAAGAGAAATTTTCATAATTATCAAGGGATCACAGGAAGAAAAAGATAAATTTCTCTTACTTCCTTAATATTACAGATACAAGAGTTATTATATCGTTAAAGATGTCTATAATGGTTTTCAAATTTTTGACATTGGCTTATGGTTGAGTATTATTTTTGAAACTAAACCAGTATTTCCCTCTTTTTGTCCTATGGGCACTAAGATGGTCTTTTCCTCATGGAGTTTGGCCAAGTATATAATGATGAGAGACGGATCACCCGTGAAAAATTCTTAAGGGTTTTCGACGCCCTGAATCATTCCCGGGTCCTCCAAAGCGATAGGCTGACGCTGAAAAGCTCAACGTACGGTTCGAACCAACGACCATACGATTACAGTTTCATGTTCTACTGACTGAACTGACCAACCCAATGTTTTATGTTATACTCTAACGATGCGCAAAAGCTACTTGTGTACAAGACTCTTAGAAGATATGACACACGACTTCCTTTATCTTCCCACCCCGACGACTTTCAACCACCAAACTTCTCTGCACATTAGTAATGAATATTCAGGAAAAGTTCAGAAATATATTCCACACTTCCGTAATTTGTCTACAAAGTTGGGTTTTCTATACTCATGGAAAAAACAGTAGTTTTTTATTTGAAGGCTGCATTAATGCCTGAGCATACAAGGAGCAGGCGCCTCACTTAGGGACCTCATCTCTGGGTTTGTTCAGTATCTATGTAATGCTCCTAAAGAAATTGGGCCGGGACCACAAAATGATTAAAACTTCTCCCAAATTAATTTTGTCCCACGGGAATACGCCGATAAAAATAAAATTCTGGTTTCCACATACCAGAAAACGGAGACGGAAAATTCCGCTTTTCGCCATTTTCTATTTAGTTATATTTCCAAGATACTAGAACATCGCGAGCAGAATTAAGTCACGTAAACAATATAAAAACGTCAGTCTTAATTGGAGATTATCTATTTTATTATAACGAGAAGAATATTTCCCGACTTCTTCTGAAAACAATTCATCATCTCGTTCTTTTCAAATAACCAGTCATTAAAATTAACCTTCGATACAATACGTAAAACATTGCTACAACTACAAACCACCATGTTTTTCTATTGGCCAAAACACAACGAAGTATTTCCTACTGACTAAAGTATTCTGACCGGACAGGAAGTAATATCACTTTTCTGTTCCTGGTATGTTTTTCGGCGACGTGAAGAACAGCCTTAAGCGGGTACGGAGAGTTTGGGAAACCTTGTTCCAAACAATAAAATTTAAAGAAATGAAGAACACGTGGAGGACTTCAATGCTTACTTTGTAAACAGAGCTATAAAATTTCTTACAATATTTAGAAATTCTTATTACTTTTCCAGCTGTTATACATAACAGAGGGAAAGTACGGCAATCGGTGAAAAAAATGACCCTCCCGAAGATTTTTTGACTTAGGACACCTTGAAATGTAATGAAATTCGTGCGTAATATCTGTATCTGTGTATGGCATTTTGTTTACCCTGTTTGAAGCTTAACTCCTGTGCTTTTTGTGGAAATTTCTGAAATTTTGCAGGGAGGTTTGTTTATTAGGGGATTGATGCTATTTTGGTGGTTAAAAGTCAAAGGGGGAGGGAGATAATGGGGGTCTTGTATATCTACAGTATGGTCTGACTTTACTCGTCGATTTTACTCGTTATTAGCATTTACAAGTTTTTACGAAACCCATCCCTATCCTTAAAATTAAGCCTTTTTATATATAAACTATTATAAAATGTCAAAATTTTTAAAATAAAATATAACAGATGACTCCAAAATTTTAAATATTACAGGGAATGTTGAGCAACTTGTTGCTGGTTTATTTTTTCAATTCGTTTAGTTGATAATTTTATTTAAACCTATATCTTTTTAGAATCTCTGAAGATTACATCAATGACGTTTCATCTATTACAAGTTTAATTTCTTTTCATTGAGAGGCTATACATTAATTACATATACCTTTTAAGCCATTTTTGACCCTCTTCCTCCCTGTTGTGCTTTCAGCAAACCCATTTAATTACTTGTACAATACTCTATGGAGTTCTGCAAATACTTTCTAGTATAAGAACAAATTCACCTGCCATTAACACCTAAATACAAGTACCGCATAGTCCATTAAAAGTCCACATAGAATATGTCTTGACCCCCTCCTTCCCTATCATGTACAATGTATTTTAACCACCCCACCCTCCTTTAAACTGTACACATTATTAATGAAGTTACTTAAAATTAATGTACACTTTACTTCAACATAAGATTCCTTAAGAATTCAAAATCTTAATGGAACTAAATAAAGATTCTTATAAGACTTGGAGATTTTTTGTTTTGTACTTTAACCTCATTATTTAAAATGAAAGAAACAACACTTCATTTTAATACAGATTTTATTTTAACAAAATAGGCCTTGTCAATAGTACAAGTCAGATACAGACAAGAAGCCTACAATTGGGATATCACTACAACAATTTAAAAAAGTCAGTTGTTTGAATGTGCCTTAAAGTACAGCTAAAACACAAGCTTTTTAAGATTTTTTAAAGGAAATATTTATAAATATTTCCTGTACTTTCACATTTACAGAAAGACTGTCAAGGAATCACTTTTTTTCCCCCAGTAGATCAGAACTACTGCTACTGCAGTTCTCTGTAATTGGCACAAAATTGACATTTGATGTGGCAGTCCCTCTCAAAGCAAATTTTAAAAACTTCAATTGCTGCAACTTCAGGGATTAAGCCTCTTAAGCAAATTTTTTTTTTTTTATTTACAATTCAACATTTTTCTATTCAATGGAATTTTTCTTTTCCTTCGAAAGATTCAACAAGCTCAATACAGTACATTATATTAAGATATAATTTACTTTTTTTAGTACTAAAGCCCATTCTATGTTCTTAACCATGGCATAATTCATATACATACTAATTTGGCAATCGCTTGACTCGACCATTGCCATAATATTCTCTTCTTCCTCTGAGCAAACATTTATAATACGTATTTTTTTTGTATGTTGTTTTGTAAATTTATATGGGGCAGATTTTAAACTGAAAGAAATACTAACAGTAGATTTGTTTCTTTTGAGTATATTTAGGCTGCATTTGTAATAGCAAAAGAAAGACTATATCCCACATATTTTCAATGAAACAATAAAAAAGTTTTTTTTTTTTCCACTGCATTTTGTTTTTATTATAGTAACATATGGATAACAAGGCAACACATAATAGTGCAGATTTAAAATTTAACAATACCATTCACGACATGTAATCTCATTTTCACGATGACTCAAGTTTTATATGATAAAAACCCACTAACATCCTGATGACTGTAGATTGGATTGATACTGATTAAGAAATTCATTTTTTCTTACTTTTTTTTTTTTTTTAAATACAAGTTTCTAAACATTAACATGAAACAGTATTTTAGTTCTGAAATGTTTGATGTTGAGAAAATGAAACATCCTTTGAATGAAACCCCATCAGCGTATAATAAAATTTTAAAATTTCTTTGAAACTTTGATGACTACTACTTTTTAAGAACAGAATACTAATACAAATGAATACGAATTAAATTTCAGATAAAATTTCGAAATCAACAATATATATATAAATTTAAATATAAAACTAAAATTCTATCTCTTCTTCGGTTTATGGACAATATAAAATGGTTTCAAAATCAGCTTTTTTGTTTTTTTCCCCTCATTTTTTTTTTAAATTTATGGCAGTGTTATGAGAAATTAAAGTTACTAGAATGAATACAGTAAATTCTTTAAACAATTTTACAAATTGATAAACCAAATACTATCATACTCCAATTCTACAAACTTTAAAAAATATAAAATATTCAATCACATTGAATAAGATTATGTTAAAATTATACACTCACACAAAAAGAGGTTTACTATCTCTATATGATAATGAATAAAAAGCTGCAGATTCTAATAAACTATATTTACAATTTATCAATTTGATATTACACAAAACGATTATTTTTTTTTTAAACTTCTTTTTCTTAAAAAATGACTTTCTTAGAATATGTAATAGTTCCTGAATGATGTGATGTAGATTTTGCATCATACCAAACACTGCCAATTCAATCTTGACAACAATATAAACAAAAAACACATAATTATCAGAATTTCAAATGTTTATGTAATATCTTTCATGATAATTGACTTAATTGTTGTCATCTTGATATAATAATTATATAAGATATGATTGAAAAAACAACTCTTGGGGTTAAAGCCACTTTGGTCATATTTTCTAATGCAAAAAGCAAAACAGTTTGTGAATTCCAATCACTGACATGCATGAAAGAAATTAACACAACAGAACAATAATTATTATTATTGTCGTTCTTTATGACATAGAGCTGCATGGAATACGAGGTGATCCCATTTGTGTTAATACCCTGTCTAACCACTGCAAAGGACCGTTTAAGTGGAGCTCGATCCAACATGGGGTAGAAGTAACTGTTTGCCGGCGATATTCTGCACCCCAACCTTTGACGAAACTCATGCGAATTGTACACATGCGAGTTAGCTGATAAACTGCTTCAAATCCTTGGCTGACTGACTGAGCCAATAATGCTGCAAATTCTTGGTTGTTGAAAATTTTCAAATTGCAACCTGAAATAATAATATATGTATATTTAAAATAACAAGTTCTTATAAATTAAAGAAAAAAATTTTAAAATTTGTAAAAAAAAAAAAAAAAAATAATAATAATAAATATATTTCTGTGCATCATCAATTGTATTTTGTGTTCGTAACAGCCAACTATTGTAGAGAACATATGTGAAGCTAAAAATTATATTCTATGCCTAATTTTAACATAATTCTGGAGAATTGCAAATGATACTTTGAATGCAAGACTGATTTTTCTGGAATTTTCTTCCCAATTGTCAACTTGTTTTATAATTAACTTGCCACAATTTCTAGCATTTCTATTAAGCAAAAAACATAAAAAAAATAGTTAAACAATCTCCCTATTATAGAATAACAGAGATTTCCTTTATTAGGCAATTAGCAACAGTTTGTTGAAGTAGGTTTGTGCGACTAATATTGAAAATTCTCTGGGTTTTGAATAAATATATTATTGTAACTATCTTACTTTAAGTAATCTAAAATAAATGAGCGATTATTTATTTTTAATCAAATTATTTAAAATATATGCTCTCCATCTCAAATTAGTAGTGGCTTGCCCCTGTACATCATACTTTTCCTGTTAGCAATAGAGTGTGCAGGCCATCCATCTAACTCCTTTCAAAGGAAAAAATTTTGGAATTGAAATAATGTGACTTTTGGTTTGCATTGAAGTTAATATATAATTAATCTGGACCCCCTGCCCCTAATCTTTCCATATCTGGTCTTGTCTTTCATCTATCTAACTCCATTCTAGAAATTAAGAAAGGAAGGACAGACAGACACGCACAGTGGAAATTTATAGGTCTAAAATTTTTCAAATTGCAGCCCAATAATGTATAATAAAAACAACATGGAGTCCTGGAAAAAAATTTCTACATAAAGGTGTCAGCTCAAAATGTGAAATATATATAAAAGGGATTTAACTAACTATGGGTTAACAGTCCATGGTTAGTTAAATCCAACTGCTCACCCCAGAATACCACTCTATGACTAGTACAGTATAAATTTCCTATTTAACAGCTTAAGTATTGCATTTTAAAAAAAATGTTTTCAACTTACAATACTGAGGCATACAAAAGAAATTTTCCTCATGTCACACGACTCATTTAGCAACAATTTTCCAGAATAAATTAGACTATAAAAAGGAAAATCTACAATATAGAGTATTCTAAAATATAACAATTTTAATTCTTTGATGAAAATTTACAGATTTTATTTGTATCTTATTGTATAAAGGTTCTTATTCACAACTTTCTACTGTAGTCAATACCAAATTACCATTAAGAATTATTTTTGAATGCAGTGTTGTAATTAATTAAAACAAAGACAAATTGAAAATAATATTTTTATATTATAATGCTGATATTTTTTAGAATCATTATATCATCCATTAAAGAAAATAATTCATGTACATGATTAATTAGCATTCATTTTAAAATTTATATATATTTAAATAAATACACATATTTTTAATTAATTAATTGTATATCTACTAAATGCCCTAATTGATTTAGTTACTTACTTTTTTAGCTTTGCCAATTTCAAAAATGTGAAAAACAAATAAAAAACTTCTGATAATTTATTAGTTATTTATAAAGAAATTGCTTTTTCCCTTGGTATAATTAAAATAATTAAAAATCTACTAATTTGAGGTAGATAATAAGGACTATCTACCTCACATTATTAGTTATTTGTATTATTATTGATATGTGTAGATTATTATTAAATTATAAAAAATGTTTCTCCTATCCTTATGTAAATATGGGGAGAAGTGCAAACAAATATTGTCAGATAATTTTTTTGTTTACCTGGAGGAATCTTGCAAACTGTAGCAGGATGCCAACCATATCTTTGATTGCAATTAGGACTCTGTACAAAAATGCTACTATCACTTAAGCATTCAGCAAATACTTCACCACCTATGTAATATAAACGAACTCCTCTACCTAAAAATTAAATAATAAAAATATAACAACAAATATTCACAGAATTTCACAATTAAAAATATTATACTTAAAATTTAAAAAAAAAAAAAAATCAATATTTTCTCTAAAACAATTTCACTATTATATAATTATAATGTACGATATTCAGTACTATATCACTGTGATTGTAAATTGCAGTATATAGAAATGCCTATATCATTTACTTCAAAAACTTATTTATTCAAATGGAAAACAAATTAGCTTTTAATCACTAATGTATTAATCATTATATAATTTATTATAACAACTAATTCTTCAGTTACATTCACAAATTGAAATTCTAAACAATAGAAGTTAGTAGAATACAGTATAAACTATTATTAATATCCAAGCATTTCTGATATCAAACCAATACCTTTTATATTTTTCCAGCTTGAATTTATTTAAGATAAACAAACTTATGCTTTGCATTTTAAAAATATACTTACTTATTCTTATGGATTGAATATTTTAAATTTAAACAGTGATGTCATAGAATGAATTTAACATTTGGCTGTGGAATTTCAAGACACTGTACTTTTGAATGCTAATGTTAAACCTGAAGCAGGTTTATGAATAAACCAAAAATGCTTGTGTTTATCTTAAATAAATCCAAGATGGAAAAATATGAAAGGCATTGTTTTAATGTTAGTTGTTCCAGCATTATTATCTTGAATTATATTTCTTATATATAATCAATCTTTTTTTCCTTTTTTTTTTTTTAAACCAAAAACAGGTTAAAATCTTTAGTTTCTGCAAAATATTTCCACCAGTTTTGATATTTCATCTTCTCTCATACTCAAAAACCAATTTATTCTGTGATAAAATTGAGGTCTGGATTGGTCAATTTTTCTGGTTTCTATTTATTTGGATACTGATAACTTCAGATCAGAGAGTTGTCTTGTAAATGAAGGATATGTACCATTCCCAGTGTTGCCATAAATTTAAACAACACATTATTATCCAAAAGATTTAGACAGATCTTCATATCCATAGTTTTGTCTAAAACAAATCATTATTCAAGGTCAAATTATAATACAACACAGTTTATGACATTAATAAATCATTTATTTAGAATTTTTTGAAGCTTTACATTTAAAATCTGATCTCCATGTTAAAAATAAACAGATACAAATCAAACTCTGTAAGTACAATTTTCATCTCCTCATCACCAACAAAGTGCTTTTCACTTTTCATTCAAGAAGTGTTGCATGGAGTGGAAGAGATGTAGTCAAATTCAAATGGTGCAATATCTGCAAATTGATAATTGTAAAATGCACATGTGAGAATTTGGTCACAAGAAAGCATCAGCAAACTTGAAATATTTAAAAAGTTGATATTGTCACATGGAATATCTTTTCACTTATAATTGTGCACCTCAACACCACTTACATACCTCACAAGAAACTTCTGAATGTCATATGTCAGAGAACAATTTTAAATAGTCTATGTAGTTCTAGAAAATTCCAAAAACTTTTGCATCAATCCAATAAAAACTGATTTCAAATTTTAAAAATAGAAATTAAATAAATTAAAAGTTCCTAAAATTCAAAGAAGATAATTTTGGAAAATATAAAATAGAAACAAAAACTTACTGAAACAAATACAGTAGAGCATCGATTATCCGACTAAATTGGGGACTGGGGTTGGTCGGATAACCAAAAAGTATCAAAAAATCCATTATTAGTGTAGTATATTATTATATCCCATGTAATTAGTATATTGTTATTAACCTACTTCACATTGAATTTTCCTCCATGTTAAGCCTATCAAATTTTTTTTAAAAATAATAATCGTTGCTATTGTATCATTAAAAATTAGAAAATTAAGCCTCTTTTAATGGTCGATCCAGTGTTGCCAGCTAAAACACGTAAAAATAATATTAAAGTAGCCAAGACATAGCCAAATATTGTAGCGTCACATCACTAGCGGACATCTGAATTTGCCGACTAGAACGCAGTCAGTTAACCGAGGTGACGGTTAATCGGGGGTAGGATAATCGATGCTCTACTGTATATATATTATAATAATAATATAATCATAAGTCAAATATGTACAAAATTTAAATTGATGTAATGAGGTGAACTATAATGAGGGCAATTTGTCATTTTTATCAATGAAAAAAATATTAGAAATAGTAAAAATTCCTCAACTATTCAATTGCTCAATTATTAAAAACAGAGAAAAGTTTCATTTCATTTAATATCCACACTTTTTCTGATAATTCTTCTAATAAGATTATAGTAATCCTATTCCTAAAACTATCTTACATATTGTATAGTCTTTGATTTTACTTTTGAAGGCCTTCTACATATAGTGACATAAATCTGTATAACAGTGGTAAACAAAAATACCAGTATATTATAAATAAATCAGAAGTTAACAAATTGTTGTTTTTTTTTGTTTCTGATGTGCCTTACTCTTTGTTAATCATGCAGAAAATATCTTAAGGTGAAATATTTTTTATTATGCTAGTGACACTGTTCAAGAATTGGGTAAAACCCTCGTACAACATGAAACGTAATAAATTTTTACTTACTTAAGTACTAATAGTTCACGAAAATAATAATTTTCGTGAACTATTAGTACTTAAGTATGTAAATTTTCTTTTCTCGCCTTCTGTTGATACACATGGTCCTTTTTGAAACTTGTTTCAATGTTGCCAGATCTCAACACTTCTGCTTCTGATGTTGCCAGATGTTTTTCCCTTATTCCATACTTGCTTTATTCTTCATAAGTGCTTAGCACCATATAAGGAAATTTATAAAGATCTTTTAACTACAAGCAAGCAATCTAAAATTACATACTTTTTGCAAAAGGTAAAGCATGGATCAGAAAAATGCTCAGAGGATAAGGATAAAATGCCGAAAACACTCTCAGTTAATAATGCTTTTAGTGATGAAAAAGAAAACATTGTTTAATTTATATTAATATGTATCACTTAAGAAAATTTTAATAAAGATATTTATCTTAATTATGAAAATATAATAGCATGTTTTTTAATTTTTGGAACCTAACCCTCCGTTTAGTACTAGTTCTTTGTTTCATATAACACGGATTTGCATAACACTGCAATTTTTTGGAACGTAGCTCCCGTGTTATACGGTTATCTGTATTCTAATATTCATTTAAGCAGAGAATGCTTCATAATAAATAAAATTTCTGTAAATACACAGCTATATTAAATTTTAATGCTTTTTTAGTCAGTTTATAGTTTTGTTTCATATAATCTGTTCTCAAATGTAATCTTGTAATGGAGATTTGAGCATAAAGAATTCAAAGAAAATTCAAATATAGGAAGGGTTTGACTAGAATCAAATTTGAGAAAGTTTTATGAGCAGTGTCAAGACGCTGCTCATAAAAGTAGTGTTTGTTGTGCTTTAGTGCTACCTAAACAATTTATAGACTAACTGTTTAAGAACTGTGCATAATTTGTAAAATAAACTATTGTTTTGTGTTTATATACAAGTAATTTATATAACTCTGAAAAAGAATATATTGTTGTTCTTCGGAACTGAAGAACAATAAAAATCCAGAGAAGAACATCCAAACTTAACTGAAAATAATAAAATATATTTCTTTGATGACTATTACAACTGCAGTAAATTTATTCTTCTCTTGTTTTTATTACTTAAACAAACAAATTATTTCTTTATTTGTTAGATGGAATGTCATGGATTTTAAACATAACTGTGTTGATTAAAAAAATATATTGTACTAGAAATCAATACATATCAAGAAGCACAAGAATAAATCTTTTTTCATCTTTTTCTATAAATTAATGTAACTAGTGAATAAACTAACTTATTTTTTCATCAATCCTTAGTGATACATAAAATAAAATGTTTAATCTTCTAATCAGTAATTTATATATTTTAGTTCCATACAATCATAAAGAAATAAATAAATAATGTATAATATTAAAATATTTTCTCGAATATTGTTATTTTATAAACAAATTTATACGTTAATATTTAAAAAGCTTACCAATGTGCCGTCTTGTCTGTTCTACCACTGGATTCCTATTAACATTTGACAACAAACCAAGACAAAAACGTTCAGAACTGGAAGGATCTGTAAAACCATCCACAGTCAAAGATGGTTGTGAAGCATGAAAGGTCTCACCAACCCTAGTATTCAGTTCATAATATGAGATAGAACACCAAAATGCTGGCTCTGTATATGTAACTGGTTGAACATCTGAGAGACATAAAAGAAAGTGACATTTTAACTCCATACAAGATCATAATGCATTCATTGCTTAATATTGATATTATAAGAAATATATTTAAACAATTTATCTTAATAGTTTATTTCATTTTATAAAATAAGTGAAAAAATTTAGCTCAACTTTAGGAAATCAGCATTCTTGTAACAGTAGAAAAAGCTTTTTCTAAAGATCTTAAAGTCATAATATTTCTTATAATACTACATGTATATACAGATAAGTTTTAAACAAAAAATTTGTTTATAATTTAACCTTCATAAATTAATATTTACAACCTGATATCAGCTAGTATTTCCTTCAAAATATTCATGAGTATTTTATAAATTATTAAAGATTCAAAACTTATTCAAATAAAATGTAAATAAATTTGTGTGCAATTCTTTCAGTTTTTTGAATTTGTGTTTTCAGAAAAAGTATTTATTTGCAATTATCACTCAATTACAATTTTATACAGATTGATGAATTTTTATAAAAAGTGAAAATATAATATGATTAAATTAAAATAAATTCTCTCTTTGTTTTATTCTATACCATAAATGTAACTTAAAGTAAGAATGTTTTCTAAGTATATAACCCCACTATAGTTTACTATTAATATGCTCAATACTATGATTCATTCACGTGAAGAACTTAAAAATATTTATCTTGCATGTGCATAACTTATTTTTAAAGTTATATTGTATTATTTAGATGGCTATTATTTATTAATTTGACATTTGTTTAAGTTACTTGAAAAAAAAAAACTTAGTTTTTATGAACAGTTTTTAATTGTAAAACAATGAAGTGATGACTTCATTCTTTTCATTAACTTCCTTTATTACAGTATAAAATAATCATTGTCTGGAAATTTTGAGTTATCTATCCTCATCCTGAGGAACTTTAACAAAATAAATTTATATTTTAAAACAATCCTGTTTAACACATTATCTGGTCTGAAGAGTAATCTTAAAACCAGTTAATTGTTTTAAAATACAATACAACAGCACTGCTCATTGAACTGTTATGATATTGTGTGCAATAATTTATATATTTCTAAAATATAGTAATTAAATTATTATAACACTTAACATAACATTATGATAAATGTTCCAATTCTATAATCTGCAGATTAGACATTTACCAATTTCATTTCCCAAATGTGTGAACATAAAATATCTATGCATATTAAGGTTTTACTTTAATAAATTAAAATTCTACAATGAATATAATCTGCTGAAGTAAAAATAGTTAAATTAAAATTAAGAAAAATTATTTTAAAATTAACAAATATTTATCTGATTTGTGTAAATTTTAATCTCTTTTAATAGAAATTTATATATATGCTATGAGAAGAAAATTTTGTAAAAAATTCTACTGATTATATAATGCATGTATAATATAAAAAAATTTGCTTATTATTAATGTGAATGTATGCCATTTGAAAAACATACAAAATGAAACTGAATAAATCAAAACGCTGTACTCTATTTATAATAATTTGTACATTATAAATCATTCTATTTTTAAATTGCTTGTTGATACATCCAAATTTAGTGATTAGAATGTTTGAAAAATTATATTTACTAGATTTAAAATGAGTTATTAATAGAGTTAATATAGTATTTTTTAAAAATGTTTTTAAGATAATATCTAAGGAACATGATAATAATAGTTTTAGATTAATTAATAAAATGGATGAAAAATTTCTATCTTTAGATGTTGAGTCTTAATTGTAATAATTATAATTCATAATATATAAGAACAGTTGAGTAGTACTTTAAACAAATTACACTTAGCATGTTCAGTCAAACTAAAAGTAATTGGAATTTCAAAATGGCCATTTTAAAATATATATATTTTATATGAATTTGTTCAAAGTACAGTAATATTCTTAAAGATTTAAGTAAGATTCATTATGTAAATTTAGTTTTGGAGATTTTTCTCAAAGAATATAATTTCAGATTTTGATTAAATCTGTTTTTATTACTAAATTATATCTTGAAGATAGTGAATATTATAACCTTCAAGATGTAATTTATCTTATATTCTAATACAAGCCACTTTCTGTTATGAGTATATAAATAAGAAAATGTAATTAAATGACAAGCTATCAAATTAATTAAAAATAACTCTTGCTTACAGCCTTGATAAGAAAATTTTCTTTAAATTAAAGAACAGCTTTTGTCACAAAATACATAAATGTACTGAAATAAATAACTGGAAAATATGTTTGTTTGAAGTGCAATATATTCAATGATGTAGCACAAATTATTATTAGAATATTAATTATAGTCAAAAATTAGTATCCCTTATATAATTTTTAAACTTATAACTGATTAGTATTTTTCCTAGTATAAATTTATGTTAATGACAGATTTGATTACTGCAATTAAATTTTATTGATTTTAGATCTAGTTTAGATATGCCCATTACTTGCCATTATGGATACTTCTGATGCTTCCTTTGGTCTTTAGCCTTTGGATTCTGTTTTATCATCAAATGATATTTTTATCTAAAAATAGCAATGATATAGAAGAGTGTATTTAATATATACATATATTTAAATTTTAAGTAACAACCAGATTGTTCTCAATAATAATCATGTAATCTTTAACAGAATATTGTAAGTCTACTTGTTTATGATATATGAGCTATAGTTTATCCAAAATATTTAGTACAACAAACTTTAATGCATTTGTCAGTTTTTATATTTCATTTTTATTAAGAACAAAGTAATGAGGATGAAAATTATTTAAGTACAAATTTTAAAATGCACTCTTCTACATCTTAATATATACTCGAACAATTTATATCTTATTCATTTTCTAATAATTTGCATAATATACATAATGTAAAAAAATCAAGTAAATTTGTTTTCATGTAATAATGCAATCATCATTAGGCTACACTATACATTTCAATTTAAAATCAAATTAAGTTCTTGTGTTAGGTGGCCAAAAGCATTTACCATTATATTTTTCTGTTAGTCTTATAAAATTATATTTATAATTTTTTTATGAATGAATCTATACCAGTGATTTCAAAGTGAGCACCGAGATCCCTCAAAGGGAATGCTGTAAGGCAAGGGAGCAGTAGAAGGGAACTAGAAGCAAGAGAGCATTAAGAACATTGGAAGACAAGGAAAGGACAAAAATTCATTTTGAACAAAAAAATTTACTCTTGAATTCCAAATGAATACACTGTACTTTGAAATATTTTTAGACAATTATTTTTCATTTATAAAATAATAAATTGTTTTGATTTAAGCACTTAAAATTTATTTATCAATGTATCATTTTTGAATGATTTTATGGAGGCACTAAAGAAATATATCTACTAAAAAAGAATAGTAGTCTGAAAAGTTTGGAAAACACTGATCTATATGAAAAAATGAGGGAGAGAAAACTATATTTTTTTAAATAAATAAACTATCATTACATCTCTAGAAATGAAGATCTAATTTCTCTCATTTCAACTAAATGTGCTGAATATATCTGAAATCTGGGGCATATATGTCTAATGCAGAAAAAATTTTTTTAACTAAGTCATATCAATAAGTTATATTTAATTAATAAGTCAAAATCTCCTTACCTAAAGGAGGGCTAGGTGAAGGCATAATTCCTGTATCTATTAAAAATTTTTAAAAATTATATAAATACAGTGACAGTATTACAATTTAAATTATTTATTCATCTGGAAATTAAATAAATTTACAAAAGTATGAAATCATTACATTATGTTAATTTTAAGACAATATAATTTGTGATTTTTCTTATGATTTTCATAAGTAAACAAATTAATCTAAAAATTTATTTAGTACAAGCCATAAATTTTATCAAAGAAATATAAAATAAATTGCTTTCAAACTTGTTAAAAATTAAAATTTCTGATAATTATCTCACCAAAAACATTTTTTGAAATGATTCTAAACACTTGTAAAATTTTTATAATAGGTAGAAAACACTTTTTAAAAATAAAGTTCATCAATATTAGAATATAAAACTTAACATGAATTGGAAATTAAAATACAATAATATTAATTATTGAAGAAGGTTAATAAATTATTTATTTAAAAAAAACAAAATGTAGCCAATAATTATTTTTTTTAATAATTATTGTTCACAAATTTCTTTATATATTTAAGATAGATTATTATATATGTATTTATGGATTACTTACCCATGTTATCTGTCCCATTTTGTTCATGGTTATCACCGTCTTCACTCATGTATCCAGGTGGAGGTGTTTCTGAAAATAAGATTTAAAAACTTTACAACATAATAGCAAAACACATTTTGTATTATTCAAAAACACCACTTTTTTTATACCAAATTTATTTCTGATGTATTTTTAACTACACCAGCATATATAAATGATTTTGAGGAATATTTTCTATTATATATCAAGTTTTGTTTCTTTTTAAAAATATCAAGTTCTTTATAAAATAATTTTATTATTTTATAAGTGTAGCACAAGTTTATCACTTTCCCTTTTAGACTATTCCCTATTTATCTTTAATTACATAAAATATTATCTATTGGAAAATATGTAGAGTCCCAATTAACTAAGGTAAAGAATACTCTTTGCCAATAAAGAAGCAATCATGATATAGTACAATTAATTTCACAAAGCATGATTGAAACTACATGTAAGAAATTTTAATTGTAATTATATATTCACATTTACTTTAATAAATATTGTATTTAATAAACGTAAATCAGTGATTACAATTAAAAAAGTTTTTTAAGTAATAAAATAAAAGACATAATTCAATTTAAAAGTCATGCTTAATAAGTAAATATAAAGATAAAAGTTTAAGAGCCCAGTCTATTGACAGTGCAAGTGTTATTTTTAGTTTAACATTCATTTGTACTAAATGAAACCCACATGTTAAATTTAAATGGTACCTATTAAATATAATCTTATGCAGTAATGTATCCAAATCGATCAATGCAAATAATAATAATAATAATAAAGATGGCTATTTTCCTAATAATTGCTCTTAAAATATTTGAATCTTAACAAGTGTTTTAAATCTGACTGAAAAGAAGTTTAGCTGTTTATCTATTATAAATATATAGAATATCATTTTAGACAACTTACTGGATAACATAAATCATTAAATCTGAGAATGTTTGAAAGTTACTACTACTAAACCATAATAGTACATTATTATTATAAACATGATTAAACTTAATTTTGCCATATATACTTTCTAATAATTCACATTAGCAATTTTATTTCAAATCAATAATTTCAAGGTATAATCTTGAAAATCTTCAAGTTGATGACAGTGACAATTACACTGAAATTTTTAAGCAATTTAATCTCAACCATTTTGATGTATTACATAACAAATCAAAATGGTCCAAAGCTTGTTTTCAAGGAGAAAACTTCAATTTATAATACCAAGTCTACGGGCAATCAATCATTCACTTAACAGTGGTTCATTTCAGGAATCAATCTGTCATAAAAGTTATTTGTATTGTATACATTTTTAAGTTCAAATTTAACAAAAAACACAAAATATGATTTTGTATGATTTAAAATATATATGATTTCATATTGCACATAACCATTTTCATTGAAAAAATTATTGTTCAAATTTTCAAAACAAAGTTTAAACATAAATATTAACAAATTATTATAAAGTTAAAAATTGAACAATGCAATATTTTCAATAAACTAACCTGTGAGTGGGAAGGTCTGATTTTCTAGGCCAGCAGGAAAATCAGTGTTCTCAGGTACTGAGTTACTATAATCATCTAGAGGGGGTAATTCTGTAGGTATATCTCCAGATTGTCTAGGCACCAAAATAGGAGGAAGTGCTGTAAAGTAATTCAAAAATATAGATAATTAAAACAAGCATTTCAAAAACTATCTAATATTTTGTAAAAAATTCAATGATAGAACTTGGTAATTTACATCATCATCATGTTCACTACTTTTTGATACCAATAGATTTGCTCATTCTACATGATGAAGATATTTGTGTGTTATAATCTAAATTACAATGAACAATGCTTATATAAATAGCAACTCGCTTTAATTTTGGCATTTTACCTTATTTTATTTCACATATATATAGTTTTATATAACTTTTACAATTTTATGCAAAAGTCTAATGTATGTAACTTTACTTCATCTTCAAAAAATTTCTCAAACTTTCATAAGATTTACAATGTAACAGAATATCATTGGGTTTACTGTGATTAAGTAGCCATAAATAATAAAAACATAGAAAATGCACTCAAAGAATTTTCCAGTTTGGTATGGCTCATTCAACTTATGGCTAACCTGTGCATTGGTTTCATTGGACTTCTCTGGAAGACCAACTATACATGATCAATAGTTTCCTCATTGATGTTTGATGCAACTAGAATATTCATTGATATTAGATGTGCATGTAAAAGGAACTGTTATCATCATTTATGGATTGAATTTGCTCATGATGGATCTTTGCTAAATCTTCTTATATTCTAAACGGTTATCAATGATTTTATTAAACATATTAGTAAGCAACACCAAAATGGCAATAGTAGTTTAAATGCCTAATGTTCTGATCTCTTCAATAGATCATCTTTTAGAACAATGAAAAAATTAATTTGAAAAAATTTTAATAAATGAAACTCTTAAAACACAATGGATTTTTTGGACAGAAAATTTTATTATGTTTACAATGAGTTTTGGTGAATAATTATACAAAAATTAAACTGCCTTGAAGTGTTATAGAAACAACATATTCATAGTAATATTTTACTGTGCAATTTTTGAGTACATTTGTACTTTCTTTAACATCTGAAGTCAGTTTAATTTTCATATAATTATTACAAATTGGCATGTCCAAAATAATTTTTTATGATGGATAAAATTATAACTAAGTTTCTAGTACACACTCACAATACTTTGAATGGCTCTTTTAATTGATACAAATTTAATCACTGTGTATCATGTACTTTATAAATAATATATTTTTGTAATAATTACATCATTACAAATACTTTCCATATAATTGTATTAGAACAGACTTAAAAGAATGTATTCAAAATTTACTAATGTTCCTTATTTATACTAAAAAATTTAATTTGTAATTTCAAAAATGACATTGCAAATCATTTAACAAAACTATCTCATTTACAAAATTATTTAATGTAATAAGTATATTTTCAAAGTTACTTTAATAATTATAATTATTTACTAAGTTGAAAGTATTGATTGCCTCTTAATTTCTTGAATTCTCTTTTTAGAACATTATCTGATGATCAACCCTTGTCTTATAATCTACTAAAAACTATAGATTTCAGCCATACTGGTGAGAGAGTAAAATAAGCATAACATGCATTGTACAACAGTAATACTACCATATAATTTATCAAATTTTTGTTACAGATATCAATTAAGCCAATTTATTTTGTTCTCTCTCTCTGTTTTTTTAATTTATAAAAATTTGAGTGATTATCATGATTAAAATATTTAATTTCTATATAAACAATCCATAAACCCAATTTTCAAGTAATGCCAAACAATCTGCTGTATTATCATGCTATAATAATGCTAATTTAATAATTACAAGCAATTTGACTAAAGGTAGGCAGTTAGGTCAATATCATATGATAATTTTAATAATTATGATAAATTAGTTTTAATTTAGAATTTCTGGAAGAAAAGAATTGTCCCCAAGTGGGACGATTCTTTCTAATTATTAGATTAGTTGATAGCCGAATAACAATATAGCAGATTAATTGGCATATTTAATTTGTATTATGATTTTATAGTGATCATTAATTTCTAAATTTAGGTCAAAAAAATTTCTTGGTGTATTTATCTAATAACACTTTCTCTGGCTATTGAATTTTTATTAAAACTTTTTAACAACAACAACTTTTTTTATACACATAATTTTGAAACAGATTATATGTATGTAATATATGTTAAATTCCTTTTAAATAATTTTTTTTATGAAAAATATTTTTAAATATTTATCAAAAAAAGTTCAAGAAGTGACTTCAATGACATTCATAACTTAATTCACTAAGTTTTAATATGGTTTTTATCTAAACATACCCCATTTCTTAACTCAAGTGTATTAATATAAAAAGAAATCAATCAGTTTTGAAGATTATAAAATTTATAATTTTAGATAGATGTTTAATATCTTTTTTTGTAAATTTTGTCATAAAGTATAATATACTAATGGCAAATTTAAATTTAGTAGTAGTATTTATGTTAATTGTTCAATGCTAGAAATGCTAAGTCAGCAACAAATGTAAAATTTTTGATACAACCTAATTTTATTTCTCTCTTATTTATAAAAATAATATATCCAACTAATTGTACAAATTTTGTTGAAAAACTTTCTTGCTTTTAAAATACTCTAACAATCATTATAGTTAATCAATTGATTAATTTAATATTATAGTGAGTTACCTTACTGTTATTTTTTCTAATTTTCTCATAGATATAAAGGTCATTTAAACATATTAAAAGATATAAAAACAAGTATTTGATTTACTTTCTAAACAGAGAAACAGAACAGAGTTCCAAAAAGATACTATTATAAGTTAAACAATATGTCTAAACAATAACAACAACACAAAGAATACAAATTGTTTTACTGTAGAAAATGTAAAAAAATATATATAATTCAAACATTTTAGAAATACTACTGGTTCATTTCAGAAAAACTGAAATTATTGAAAAAAATTCTTAGATCATTCATAAGTTTAAAAAATTTAGCATTTGCCAGATCTAAATCATTGAAAACTGTTAAAAAGACTAATCACCATTACTTTGTAACTATTTATCAAAGTATCTGTGAGAAGGAAATAACAAACAAGGAAGGAATATTGTATCTACTCTATGGAAATGAATTAAAAATTAATACAAAAAAACTAAACTTACTGCCTTTCTTTCTATTAATTAGATGATAAGAAACAAACAATTAGTTTGTTTTAATCTGCATTTTTTTCTCTTTAGTTGTTAAAGTTATGTTTAAAGTACAGTTATAAGACTATAATGTGTATACGTTGTTGCCTGTAATGACAGTTCTTAAAATCTAATATTTGCAGACTTCTGAAATTAAGAATGTTCTCAAAAATTTGTACTTGATTGCCTCTTGTTATTGTTTCAATTGTTAGGAATAAACATAGGATTGCTTGAGAGAGAATTTGGCCAAAATATATATAGTCAAGTTGATACTAAAGAGGACCAATGAGGGACACATCCAAAATGTATATCTTCCATAATTAATAACGCCCATATACCTAACTTTGTTGAGCGTTCCTGTAAATTCTCAAGCATGTTATGCTTACTCCTAACGGTTCTCAAAAAGGTTTCATTTTCCTCTTAGTGACTACAGGACAAAGTTATATATATTCATGTAATTTCAATTGTTCTAAAGACAAAAAGCAATTTCAAAACATTTGGATTTAGAGGTTTTTTTTTTACATTTTAATCTAATAAGGCAAGTTTTTTCATTTTTTGAAAATTTTTCAGCAATCAATTTCCATTCTGCAGATAACTTATGTCAATAAATTAAATTCTGAATGCAAAGAAATTTTAACTTGAACTAAAAATTCTAACAAGTATAAAATCTACAAAAATTAAAAACAACTAGAAAATTAATCCATAAAATTTATTAAAGAATAGGAATGCATTTAATAGAATCAGCTTTATTTTTTAAGTATCTCTCAGTTTTTTCAAAATATCCAAATCTTTAAAGTCCAATTCAAAATCTCTCTCTCTCTCCAATACGAATGGAACAAAGTGCTAAAAATTTTATCATAAATTCTCTATCACCTTCAATATATCAGTATGCAAAGTTTTCTTAGTGCTTTTGAATTAAAAATTTATACAATTCCAAATTACTAGGAAATGTTATGAAAATCTATTTGCATATTGAACATATAATATACAATGAACTGTTCAATGTTTAAAATGCATTTAGCATATTCTGTTAATGTGTTCACTGTGTGATACTGTGTAAAAATAAAATACAAAATCTATTAAAACACTAATGTATTTGAATTTGAAAAAGGATTGACACCTTTTAACTTTTGTAGTGTTTCTATTTCTCAATAATTTCAGTGAATTACCTTTAAACTGTTTTAATTATTAAATTAGTTTATCTTAATTTGTAAAATATGCAAATGTAAATTACCTGGTGTCTCAATCCGCAGATAATGATATGGGTTGATACATACTTCGTCACGCTTCAAATTAAAAGCAAATTCACAATTTTCTACTGCTCTCAATTCATGATGACTTTGTAAATCAGGCCAACGCCACAATCGGCAGTAGATAACATGAGGTAGTCCCTTACGATGGGACACTTGAAGCCTGCCATCCAATGATCTAAAATATACAAGTAAATTATTTTTATAGTAACTATAAATAAATCCTTCACAACATTTACATTTGATTTTAATTACTTCATACAGTATAGACTAATACATTGAATATATATAAAAACAATAAAATCATGTGATATTTGACCATTATTGTTAATATATAAAAAAAAAACAGAAATCCAGAGAAAATTATTGCTAAATAAATAATTTTTATAGAGTTGTAAAAAGAAGTTTATATATAAGCAAGTATATAATTATGCAGAATAATTTTCAAAGACAACATAAAATTACTAATTACTTCAAACAATATGTGAGAAAAAGCTATAAAGTAAATATTAATCATAATACATCTGACTATTACATAAAATGTTCTGAGATCACAGTTGAGTTTTTGCATCGGTTATGTCTTAGGAAACTCTTAATACAATTCATTATATGGAAGATGTAATTTTATAATAAAATAAAAAAACAAAGGGAGGCCAATAGAAATATTTTAACTATTATAACTTTTGACTTAAAATCTTGTTTAGCCAAGCTAAAACTAATTGATTACTTAGAAAATTATTTATTGATATCTACTTAGTGCAAAAGTATAAAAAATTTTATTAAAAACTACTTTGTAACAGAGTTGAAAAATCAGATTAACACACTTTGTATTCCTTACAAAAATTGTTTTATTATGTGTTGAGAAAATTCTCACATTGACTAATACTTACAATCATTGTGTTACAAATCAAGAAAATAGTAATCAGTTGACATTTCCAATAAGAAATCCTTATACTATCAGAGTTAACATGTTATTTAACATACTGTTGAATGAGAATGCCATCAAAAGTAGTTTTTATTTGACAATGACTATGACAGATTCCTTGAGAATATTATAGAAGCAAATAACTATCAACTTCTAGATGAAAATACTTTATGGTGTGAACGCTAAAACAAACAGATATAGACAATTATCAAAAGCTAATAGAAAGAATAAGATAAAAATTTAATCAAAATCTCTATTGATTCTATGCAAATCTTATTATTAATAATGCAATTAAATCAGAAGTGATTATTAAATGTGAAAAAATTAAATTTATTTATTTTGCATTTTAAAAAACCAGTATATATTTTATATCTGCACTGAGTTACATAAATTATTATTAGAAAAAAAAATGATAGCTATGAAAAAGAATATCTATATATATTCTTTAAAAAAAAATTAAAACATCTTGAAATAAATACATCATTCAGGAAATGTCTTTATTAATTCAGTAAATATTTTTTAAGGTAATGCTCTAAAAGAATAAATAAATAAATGTTAAGAACCTAGAAAAATTAACAAAATAATCACCAAAATAAATACATTATTACTCGCTCAATACAAGGCATAAGCTGTCAGATATCTAATCTCAAGCACTTAATACTTTCATCTCTTTTCCAAGCAGGGCTGCGGAGTTGGTAAAAAAACACTCGACTCCGATTCCTGATAATTTTAGTAGGCTGACTCTGACTCCGGCACAATTAAATACCAAGTCATTTTATGAGAGGCAGAAGCACTTATAGGGTGTACCCTATTCTGAACTCTGAAAGGAGCCTGGGACATTTACCCAAATACTTTTATAGTTAGTATTTTTAATATTTAACTTACATTAATATTTACTTGTATAAAAAAGTGAATTTTTAACAAATATTTAATAAGAGGAGAAAGGGGCAATAAAATTCTACATCTACATATATTTGACAGCATTTGCACTTCAAGTTCACCTTTCCAGAAGTTAGTCCAGTGCGATCTAACTAGCTACTTCAGCCCCTTGTTCAGAAAAGAAAAATATGTACTCTGATCAGTTAGTCTGGCNTGATTATGAGTCCAAGTGATACAGAAATCAACTATGAGTTTGATGATCAATACACTGAACAGGATAAAATTGTTTGGGATGTTATTGACAGTAATCATTATTCTGGATGCTTTTCCAAACAAAAATCAGTTTGAAGATTCTTTCAAAATATATGCCAAACACAACATAATGCATAATATCATACTAAGCACATGGCATTTAATGGGAGACAATTTCATTCTCCAACACAAAAAAAAAACTAAAGTAAATTTAAAATGCGGGAGTCGGAGTTGACACATTTTTTCCGACTCTGACTCCTCTGGGCAGAAATTCCTCCCGACTCTGACTCCAAAGTCCTGCTTCCAAGTGGGAAAATTATATCATTTATATAATTTCAAATTTACTGCTTTTAGAAATTAACATTATTTCATAATAAGACAATTTACCAGCTGAACACTCTTAACATCAACTGTTATTAATAGATAATTTATAATTTAAATTTTGGGCCTGGAATAACTCAATTATTTCAAAAATCTTGTTCTGAAGATAAGGTTAAGAAGCTAAAAAACAAGCATATCATATCACATAAATAAGCATGTTAAAATGTAGATAGTAAATAAAATCAATTTGTTTGATTTTCCTAAGTTAATTAAATAAAATTTTATGTTTAAATAGATTAATTCAGAGATTGTGTAAATATTCTCTTTACTTTCACAATCTATTTAAGTGGAGAGTGTAATTAAAACTTACTTATAATTAAAAAGCATACAATTTGAATATCACTGATTGACAAATTCTTCTTGAATCTATTTAATCTGTTAAGATGAATCAATTACTTTGTAAATATTTTATATTAAGCTTATTAATTACTTTATTCATTTATGCATATTATATATATTTATGTTTAGATCGAGTTAGCAGATGCTAAAAATTTTTTAAAATAATTTTTATATACGAAAGTGCCAGAAAAATTTATTTTAATTTTAAATTACACCTGGTTATATTAAATTTATAAGTAGATTCTTGATTTTTTTTGTTCTTTCATATTTATTATAATTAATTAAATCAGAAGATTAGAGTATTACAAAGCATGTATATAAGCTTTTCTATTTGTTAAATTATGTATGCATATATATTTCTTTTCACTTTCAAACATGTTTTAAAATTAGCAATACAATAATCTTTAAATTAGCATAATTGAACTGAAAGTGTGTGTGAAGAACATTATGACAGCATGATTAAGTACATAAGGAAAATCATCATCTCGAACACTTTCAATATTTACACTACTAAAATAAATAGATTCTGAAAAACTTTAAAAAATAAACTATTGAATATTTATCTATACACTATAAATTTAATTATATAGTTAATTAAGGATTGTTTAATTTTCAGAAATTTCTGAAAATGATTAAAATTCGAAATAAATCTGTTACTTAGCCATAGTATATAATAATATGGCTATGAAATATTTCTACTATCTTACAAAAGCAAAAGTGCTTGTTTAAATTATTACAGTGTTCATTATACATGATTTTATTTAACGACTTAATCTTTTTTCTTTTTTCCTGCATTGATAATCTGTATTTTGATGAAAACAGTACATTATATACAAAATAGATCACCAGTAGGATGAACGTTATAATTTACTTTATTCCCATATACACAAACATGCAAATATGCATTTTGGACTTTTGTCCCTTCAGTCTGCATTTCAACATTGCATGCAACTACTTTTCTGCTTGTTAAATTATCAAGCTGTAAAAGGTAAAAATTTTTAAAATTCAAAGAAATTTTATATTTCAACAATTTTTATGTTTTTCTTATTTTTATTTCAACTGTTTAATTTTGTAATATACATTTAATTTTTTAATTAATTGTATAATTATTCAAGAAACTTCATATTATCCTTCAAATAAAATTTATGTTTATTTAAACTTTATCAATTATAAAAAAAAAAAACTCATAATATACAGCTCTCTGATACCTATAACTTAAATTAACATTACAATTAAAGGACAGTCCAAAGGAAAGAGAAATATCGTTGAATAAATTTTCTAGTGTGCTTCAATACTTTTTAATGTCTTTTATAAGTAGAAATTTTACACTTTTGGAATATTAAACAATTATTTTTAATACATGAAAACAGTTCTAGTCTTTTCTAGCAAAAATATTTTATTAGTCAAATGTTTTTGGCTGACTAAGCAGTCATCTTCAAGTCTGAACTGTGCGATATGTTTATATAATATTAAATAAACTATATAGTTTGATCTATGTCTTTAATATTACTTATAAATTTTCAATTAATTTTATCATACAAATACAATGCTTTAGCTGACTGATTTTAATTTAATGACAAAATTGCAGATATGCTTTGCTACTGAAAAAGAAAGTTTTTTTTTTAATAACATTATAAATTTTTTTTACCTGGCAATTGCCAATCTTAAAAAGTATATCCAAAATGCTAAACTGACATCTTGCTATACAGATGATTAATTATTATCATTATCATCACTGTTATTATTATCAATGCATATTTTCATTTCAACATTCATCACAATTTGTAAACCAGTTTTAATGTAGTTCAAGTTGCACCACTTAAACAAAGAGAATGCTACACTAAAATTCTATGAACACTTATTAGTAATGCAATTTTTATGTTCTTCATTAAGCATCCATTTTCATTAAACAAAGCAAGCTATGATTATGCATAATTCCTTCATTGTGTAATAGCACTTAAATATTCACACACACACATATATATATATATATAAAGTGGATTGTCTCTATTAAGAAAACAAAAAGAAAAAACATGCTTAATATACTTAGCAATTTTAGTAATACATATTGACAAAGGTATTTGTATAATTTGTAAATTAAACGAAGAGATTCACTTATATCAAATTCTTTCTGAAATATTAAAAATGCTGTTTTCTCTTATTTAATTACAAATTATTATAAGTAACAGTTTGTTATTATTTTTGTTTATTGTATGCTTTAAACAATGTTGTATTATATAAATTTTTTAAAAATTATGCTAGATCTAGTATGCAAAAATATATTTTGAATCTCCAATAGGTTGCAAGGTATAAATAATTTTATTTTTAATCATCCTTAAAATTAATAATAAAATATTTAAAAATGTTTATATGTATAAAATAAAATAAAATATATATTTTAT